TCTCAGCGGTTGATTGCCTCAAGTATGTCAATTTCTTTCACTTTGACCTATAATATGAGGTCATTATTCACTTTTGCATTGACTATTATCTGTTAAATAATGTGACTATCCTGGATGTGTACCCTCTTCCTCACACTGTTAATTTTTTAAATCGTCTAGGGAGAAATTGTTAATTCACCTAGTTAAATTTTGCTTTTGGGTACTAGCAAATGTTGATAGCTGAAAAAGATGTTCTTAAAGCTGTGTTTCATACAAAAGAACAAGTTTATCAAATCAATTTACAAACCTTTACAAAAAATATAATACTTCAAGTAAGTTATGTCTTTAGATCTGAAAACAAATTTGAACAATGCTTTAGCAACTTTCTAATGAATAATGGATGAGGTTGTTTACAATATGCCAAAGGTGACTACTAACTTCATTATTGATGTCTTGATTCACTTTGAGAGAACATGTGAAAAGCACATCCATGATGTTCGTAAAGTGTTAAATCAGCTGTAGGAAGTTAGTTTAAAGTTGAAGTGGTCGAAATAACTCATAAGTGTGTGAATTATATGTACCAGTTCCTAGGTAAAATGCATCATCTCAGTCATTTTGTTGATCATCTTTCTGATCGTATTGCACCATTGCAAGCATTGCTAAAGTCATTAACATCATTTTTCATTTAGTCATCAAGATTATGAACAAGCCTTTACAAATCTCAAAGAGTTGTTAACTACTCTTCTAATTTTGGCACATCCTAATTACACTCAACTTTTCATTTTGTGTGTAGATGTTTTTAATATTAGTCTCAATAGTGTCTTGATGCAAAAGAGTATGAATGTGCCTGGTTAATGTCATCTCATTGCATATATTAACCATATATTACAATCAGTAGAGATGAACTACTCCATAATAGAGAAGGAGTGCTCAGTAACAATTTGGGGTTTTTAAGAACTTTTATTCATATTTGTATGGTTCTCAAATATTACTAAAAGGTGATTATGCTACAATTACTTTGTTATTGAACCAATAAAACTTAGTTGGTCGTATTAATGGGCCTTAAAGCTTTAAATATATGATTTTGATATATGATCTCGAGGTTATTTATTTGGGGAGTTCTATGGCTGATGCTAATGCTTTTTCTCAAGCTCCTTTCCCTTCTTCACTCACTTCTCCTATTTTTAATAAGCTTGTTATTCTAGCATCAATGGATTTTCTGAATAATGATTTTGTACTATTGGCAGTTGTTACATATAATGTTTAGTGTCCATAAAGTGCAAAAAAAAATTTACCTTTGTTTAATAAGGTTTATAAGGCTCAAAAGGTTAAATTATGGATCTAAAGGCTTTGTAATAGATTTAAAATTTTCTACATCACTTATTGATGACTTGTCATTTCGGCATTTATATTCTTAATATCACCTTGAGGATGACTTCTTTATTTTATAAGGACTAATTTTAATGATTATTTACTGCTGATGGTGCCTTCAGTTTTTATTCCAGAGTTTCTCCATCTCTATCATGATTCCCCTATTCTAGATGGGTATATAGGACATTATTGTGTGATTAAGAAGTTGCATAAATTTCATAGATGTAATGTCATGTTGTCTAATATATGCTTAACTACATTTGATGCCAAGCTCATAATACTTCCCTTTCTGTTGCAGAAGGATAGTTGGAGTTAATTATAATTTTTTGTTTATTTGAGTTTATGGCATTTGATCCAATAAGACATTTTCCACAATCAACTATTGGTAATAAGTATATTATTATTGCTTCTTAACTCACTAAGTGAAAGTTGATATCCTTGCTAATGCATTTGCAATTATTGTTGGATGTTTGCTTCTCAATCAAGTGGTGTTCTAGCATTCCTGGTCAGAGTAGATTCTCTCGAAGGATAGTTTTGCATTTATGGCTAAGGTATTTTATGTTTTAACATCTTAGCTAGGGATATACTACACTTTCATAAGTGCTTATTATTCACAAATAAATGATTTAGTGGAACAATTTATTCAGATCTTCAAAAAAATGATTGTAAAGTATATAAACTTTTAGCATTTAGATTGGGATGGTTATTTACAATCTCTTTGGTATACATATGTCATAAGGTACATAATTCTATTATTGTTTCACCATATAAACTCCTATATAATCATGATCCAATATTGCTAACAGATTTGAATTTACCTTTGCAATTGCCATGAGCTACTGATGTTAAATCTTAAGAACAATATTTAATGAACATTCTTCCATTTGTTCAAATGGAATCTACTAAATACTTAGGCCATATTTAAGTGGGATAACAAAGGTGTTACAATAGCTATCATCATCCACCAACACAATATATAGTGGATAATTTAGTGTTAATCCATTTTCTCAATCTTATGGTATATGATTTGTTTAAGGGGCTCTTTTCTCAATAGAAGAGACTGTATTGTCGTGGCAAGTGAGACGCAAGTTTATAAGGTTCGGCATGATATTCAAAAGACCAATCCTCTAGAAATTATATATGTGCAATAACTGAAATGCTTCATATAAAGGGTTCAGGAACAACTGATACCATCTACAATCTACTATAACCTCCTTCTAATGTTCTTCCAAATCCTGGTTTATTAACTAGAGAACTCTAACTACTTTTTATCCTTCCGAGAGGAGAGGATGATATGACGTCAAGTGTATAGCTATGATGTTGTATATTAATATTAATATAATGGGATTTTAATAATTGTCATATTGGTTTAAATCCAGGCCAATTGCTCTTATTTATAAGCTAAACTTTTTGGGCTAATTAATAAGTATTTTCTATATTCCATTTGCATATTCCATGCACTCATACTTATAACCTAAAGTTCATTTTGAAATTGAGTATAATGAACATTTTAATAATGTATTTTGATAATGGGGTAATTATATTCTTTAAAAACCCAAAATATTATCAAAAAAATTCTGGATACAAAATAAAAAATATAAATATTCTTGAGAAAATTATAGTTCATATATAGATATTTTCTGATATTATTGCCTTTAATAAATAAAGAAGATTAAAAACAAAATAAGTTCATATAGTGTGGCTTATGGAGTCCTTACAACTTCAAAAATAATTTAAAATATTAATATTATCAAAATTAATTTATCAATGGAATATATAATTTTTAAAAATAAATTTTTCTAATTTTTATTGAAATGTATTAAATTAATAAAATGCATAACTAATAATGATTAGCTATTTTGTAATAATATAATCGAAATGTTTTATTGCTATTATAGTTAGGATTATAAAATAGCCTATATAGGCATGTTTATATTACTGAAGATTTCTTTTAATTGTAATATAAGTTTTACTAATATATACAAATAATTAATTATAATTATATTTATATTATTAGCAATTTTGCTGATATCCTTTTTATCATATGTTTCTTATGTTATCAAATGATTATTAAACTTAGTATGAGTAAAATGCAAGAAAAAAATTAATATTTTGTTATGATATTCTATGTATTTTTTAATTTACATAATGTTTTATTTTGTAAATATAAAAGTAATTTTAATTTTATAAACAACAATTTTCAAAATAAATATTTTAGACAAGGCACATCACTCACTTTTGCTTTTATTTATTAAACCCTGCTGCCGAGGAAGGACTCACTAAAACCTATTTTTTATAATGAAACTTTATATTTAATGTTATTTAAATTAATTAGTCATATATATAAGATTTATATATCAATTATAGTGTAATAATTCCAAGTTGCTTTAATTAGAAAAAAAAAAATTTACCAATATTTTAATTTTCTAAAAATGTTTTAAATAGTGTAATAAATATTTAAAAGGATAAGACCATCATCTAATTTTATTTTTTCTTAAATAAATTTAAAAGATTTTTAAAACCTAACTGATTGTGAAATAATAGTATAAAAATATTTTATTTATAAGGACTTTGTTCCAACAACATTCGATAGATAAAAGATTTACTATTGTAGATAAAAAATCTCAAAACATACAGATCTTCAAATTTCTATTCTTCAAGTAACTTTTCAAATCTCTCCCCATCAATCCTCTTTAATGGGTATATCACTATCTCTCCATTTTGAAAAGGGACACTATTTTCATTCTCCCAATACCTTCAAAAACGACTTGATCTATACTCAGAAAAGTTTTAACTGCTCTTTAAGTAATTTAAAATTTCTTTAAGTAGTTTAAAACTCTCTTAACTAAATTCCGCTCGCTCTCAGATATTATTAAAGAAATACTAAAAGTTTGAGTGACCTTTCATTAAAATATTCAATGTATAAAGAAAACATTCAAAAATAAGTGGCTACTTTCAAAACTTTCATTAAATTGAAGGGTAATAAGTGATTGAATTTAATGGTAAACCTTTATGTGTTTAATAGTAGTATAAATGTGTGGTTCTACATTATAATTAGCAGATTTTAGATATAAAAAATTTAATATATTTTCTATCAAATAATACAATGTCATGTACTTTTAAAAAATTATTTATATTTTCATCATAAATTAATCCACTATAAAATGTAATAAACTGACATATATATTATTTTGATAATTAAAATATTTTCTATTTTTCTTAAAAAGTTTTATTTTTTATTTAAACCTTGCAACATGAAATGAATATTTAATCTCAGCCTTTCAAAAAAAAAATGAATGGAGTCCCCCTTCAAAGTTTAGGCATACTTGCAATAGTTATATATAATGTAAACCTAAAGTAAATATTTCAAAATAAAAAATAAAAGATACTATAAAGCTAACATTTACATTTTATAGTAATAACAATCTTCCACCTAATCCTTGAAATGTCGGAATTGAAGGAGAAACGCGGGTATCGGACCAGTGTTGGTGAAAGAGAAAGATTGAACAGTAAAGAGAATGGAAGTGTGGATGCTCTAAGGATTTCTAGGAATCAAGACCGGTACAAGACCGGAGCCGGAGAAAGCTCCAGAGGCAAGTAGAATCGATCGACATCGGTGATTGCTCTATGGCGAAGACGATCTTTTGAGTTCATGGCAGTTTCCCTGATACCAAATTGGACAGAACAACGTAGCCAGCGGGGATGCTTGGATCTAAAACACTCACTTTCTCCGCCGCCGCTCTTCCCAGCTCAACATCTCCTTGAACACTACACGAGCTCAAGAAGCTCACGTAAGCTCTGGCGTTGGGGATTCTCCGGACGAGCTCCTGGGCAGCACTGAGCTCTCCCGCTCGTCCCAGAAGATCAACCAAGCAGCTGTAGTGCTCCAGAGTCACCTCCAGGCAGTGATCCCGAGCTATGGACGCGAAGAACTGGATCCCGGTCTCGAGCATCCCGGCCTTGGCACAGGCCGAGAGAACGCTCAGTATCGTCACGCCGTCGGCTCGCAATCCAGCCTGCTGCATCCGCGCAAAGAGCTTGAGAGCTCTCTCGCCATCGCCGTGGTGAGCATAGGCCGAGATGACGGACGTCCACACCAGCAAGTTCTCCTGCAGCAAGAAGCTCCGTCCACGATCGAAAACTTTGCTCGCGGACTCGAGGCTTCCACACTTGCTATACATGTGGATGAGCGCCGAGACCACCACGGGATCCATCTCCATCGCCGGGCGCTCGGCGAGCAAAGCGTGGAAGCGCTTGCCTTCGACGAGAGCGGCGGCGGTGGTGCAAGTGGAGAGAATGGTGGCGAAGGTTACTCGGTCGGGCTCTTCGCCTTGGAGCAGCATTCGCCGGAAGAACAGCTTGGCGATGGCGCCATAGTGGCTGTGAGCGTACGCAGCGATGATCGCAGTCCACGAGACTTTGTTGCGCTCGATCATAGCGTCGAAGATCTCTCGAGCGTTGCCGGGGCTGGAGCACTTTCCAAACGCGCTGATGAGAGCGTTTCCAACAACGAGCTCGGTCTCCAGGCCGGCCTCGGCAATGCAAGCGCGGACGAGCTCCAGCGATCGCAAATCCTGTCCGGAGCTCTCCACGAGAACGCTCAAGATCACAATGAAGGTGATCCTCTCGGGAGCCACTCCGCTGAGAAGCATCTCGAGATACGTCCTGTAAGCTCGCTGGAGCTCGCGGTTCTCAGCGTGGATCGATATCAAACAGTTCCACGCCACCACCCTGTGATCGATCATCGTCTCCTCAAACACCCTCCTCGCGTCTGCCAAGTTTCCACACTTCCCATAGCCGGTGACGAGCGAGGTAGCAGCGTTTTCATCCATGCCGAGCTCCACCAAGATCGTCTCGAAAGTCTTCACTTCCGGAAGCTCCAGAGATCCGGAGCTCAGCACCGCGAGGAATCCAACGCTGCTAGATGCCATGCCTTCGAGCATCATCTCCCGGACGAGCTCCAAAGCCTCTCGTCCCCGACCGTGATCGCAAAGCGCTGATACGATTGAGTTCCAAGACACCGAGTCCTTCTCCGGGATCTCTCGAAAGAGCTTTCTCGCGAGCGACAACTCTCCACACTTCCCATACATATCTACAAGCGCGTTGGCCACCACCGCCGAGTTTTCTCGATCGATCCCACAGGACTCCACGAACAAAGCGCGGAAAATCTCGCCTTGGCGAAGATCCGACACTGCCGCGCAGAGGTTGATCATGGCGACGATCACCACCTTGCTGGGAAGAACACCGCAGTGCTGCATCCTTCGCAGCAGTGCCATCGCGGGGCGGAGCTGGAAATCATCGGCGTAGCCAGCGATCATCGTCCCCCACAGCGGCAAATCCCTCTCCTCCTCCTCCACACCATCAAAGATCTCTCTCGCCGCCGCCAGCCTCCCAGATCTCCGGAAGAACGTCACTGCTGCAGTAGCTGGAAGAGCTCTCTTCATACAAATCCCCAGCTCCTTCGCGTGAGAGAGAACGATCTCTCCCTCCCCGATCGTGCTGGCGCAAGCACCGAGACACGCGACGATCGCCCCCTCGCTCGGAATCACTCCCTCGTGCCTCGTCTCGCGGAGGAGATCGAGAAAAACTCCCTCGTCGCCGATGTGCGCGGATGCTGCCAGCATTGTGTTCCAGGAGATCGAGCTCCGCGAGCTCATCTCGTGGCGAAAGATCCACAGCGCCTCCTCGAGGCTGTGGTTCCTGGCGTACATGTTGAGCAGTGCCGTCCCCAGCGCGAAATCCAGCTCGATCCCGCTGCCCAGGATCCGCGAGTGGATCCATCGCCCATCACGGATATCGATCTCCGCGACGCTGCCCAGCACGCTCAGCCAGGTGACTCGATCGGGGTGGAGTCCCTCGAGATCCATGGAGCGCACCATCGCCAAAGCGTGAGCGCAATGCCGGTTCTGGGCAAATGCTGCCACCATAGCGTTCCACGAGATGAAATTCTTCTCCACGATCGAATCAAACACCTCCTTGGCGTGACCCACGCTACCGCATCGTCCATACATCGTGACGATTGCGGTGCTCGCGAAAACGCTGCTGGCAGAGACCCCAGACTCGATCATCCATTCGTGGACAGATGCCCCCTCGCGGCAATTGCCGCAAGCACCGAGCACGGTGACGAAGGTGATCGTGTTGGCGATCGAGTGTTCCAGCAGCATTCTCCGGAAGAACACGAGCGCCTCTCGATTCTCGCGGTGGTGGACGCACGCGGCCATCATCGCTGTCCAGGCGATCACGGACTTGATCTCCATGGAGTGGAAGATCGCCTTGGCCGCGGCGAGGCTGCCGATCTTGCCGTGGATGTTGAGCAGCGAGGTGGCGATAGCGATGTCGGTGGCGAGCTGGGCGTCGGCGGCGATGGAGTGGAGGAGGCGGAGCAGCGGCGGGGACGCGAGATCGAGGCAGGCAGTGAGCGCCGTCATGATCGTCACGCGGTTGGGCGCTACACCCTGGAGCTGCATTTGCCGGAACACGAGAATGGCATCGCGGAAGAGCTCTTGGCGAACAAGACCGGCCACCATCGCCGTCCACGGCACCACCGTCTCCGCCGCCCCAGCGCCGCCCATCATTCCCTCCAGATCCCCCAACCGCCCGCTGGCTCGCGTGTAAACACCCAGCATCTCCTCTTTGAGGCATCGCTCCGGCGCAAAGCCCCGATTCTCTGTCGCGAAAAACCTCGCAAAGAATGCCCTTCTTCGCATCCAAGAACCCTAAACCTCCATCCGCCACGTGTCAAGCCTCGCTGCTATACACGTGACTGCCAGCAGTGACATATATCCACATGGCATATTAAACCCTAAGCCTAAATTATTGTATTTAAGGGAGGAACCCTAGAAACATCTTTTGAAAAAGGAGATTATGGGGGAGAAGGACGATTACTACAAACACGTTGCATTCAATCACGATAGCACTCGCTTTGTTTGCGCTTGCAACGATGGTGTCGAGGTTTACGACTGTGATCCTCTCAAACTCGCTTTTGGGAGGAACCCAAAGCTTGCAAAGGGTCTCGCCATCGCTGAGATGGAGGACAATCTGAGGCTCTTCCTTTTGGGTGGCGGCAAGTTCCCACTGGATGACAACAAAAGGGTGGTGATCTGGGACGAGGTCCAGGGCAGAATCTCCTCAAAATCGTACAATTGCGCGTCTCAAGTCCTGGCGATCAAGGTCTCGGGCGATGCTGTGGCGATTGTGATGCAAAACAAGGTGGAGCTACATGTTTACGTCAAGGCAAACGAGACCTCAAGGATATACAGCAGCGTCACCACTTGCAACCTTCGAGGAGTGTGTGCCCTAAGCCCCGGATACGTTCTCGCGATTCCGGGGCTCTCGGAGGGCGAGGTTCGTATTCACGCTGCTCACAGGCATCCCTTCTCGATCAACGCTCATGCAAACACACTTTCGTGCTTGGCACTCAGCCAGAATGGTCGATTCCTCGCCACTGCGAGCGTGAAGGGGACGGTCGTGAAGATCTACTCGATCTCCACTGGCTGGGGGGAGAAGCTTCAAGAGGTAAGAAACATGTCCCATGAAAGAGTTGGCGGGCAACTTATAAGTTTTCTTTTTGTGGTTTCTCCAGCTTCGAAGAGGCAAAGACAAAGCCGAGATTTGGAGCATGGCATTTTCTCCGGACAATCACTGGCTAGCGCTCACCAGTGACAAATGCACAATTCACGTATTCAAGGTAAACGTCCCGGATTCTTCCACGACTTCAAACTCTTCGACCGCCTCAAATCACGAAGTCACAGCCACGAATCCAACCTCGTCACTCTCCTTCATGAGAGGTAAGATCATCTTGGAAACTTCACTGTCGTACAAGTATTGATCACGTCCGTGCAGGTGTTCTCCCGAGCTACTTTAGCTCCCAGTGGTCGTTTGCCCAGTTTCAGCTCAAGACAAAGTCCCACGCCGTGGTAACTTTCAGCAGCAAAGAACCCTATACCATTCTCGTCGCCTGCCGGAATTCCACTTTCTACAAGCTAAAGTTTGATCCTGCCTTCGGCGGCACAATGAAACAGGAGAAATACTGCATTTTCCCTGAGGTATAGCGAAGAACACAACAAGGAGAAGAGAACAAGCAAATCATTGAGTCTAACTGTGAAATGTAAATTCTATCTATACATTGACCGTTTCGTTCTTTATGTGATGATACGAGGGCGAAAGAAATCCTTTTTAACTTAATCTTGGGTTAATAAACAAGTATGAGAATGTTGGTATTGGATGGATTGGATCGGATCTGGAGAGCCAAAACAAGTGATCTAGTCCAAAGATTATTATAACTATTACCAGCAACGTAAGCACAAGAAGAGGAAAAGAGCAAGAACACTACCTGGGCGATGGGCGGTGATAAAAAGAAGAGCTAGGAAGCTAGCAAAGCTTGCAACCTTTAACCGCGATCATTCAAAAAGGAAAAGAAGAAAAAATCTCTGGAAGATCATCCATCCCTGATCGATCACCCAGCAGTGATGAAACGAGGCTGTGCTCGCTGCTGCGCTCGCTTCTCCCTCAACTTGGCCATCCTTTTGAGCCAAAACTCCATCTCGTCGGGAGCTTCCAGCTTGGCCTTGAGGTTGCTTATGTGCTTGGGCGTGACGAAGTGCTGCTTCTGGATGTTGTGTAGCGTCTCCCCCTTCTTGTCCGCTCGCAAATACCTCGCGCAAACTCCACACAAGACCCGCCAGCTTCCATCAACGAACTCGAGCTTGAGCGGCGACTCCGGGTGCTCCTTCTGGAGCCTCTCGAAGAACGAGGCCAGCTTCTCGGGCGGGGCGGCCGGGTTGGCGGCCGCGGCGAAGCCCAAGTCGCCGTGGTGGTGGATCTTCTTGTAGGACGATCCCAGCAGCTTCTCCTTGTCGGCCTCACACAGCCAGCCACTGCTGCTCTTGACCTCGCCATCGATCACTTCCAGGCTCTGGAGCGGCAGTGGCTGCTGGCTCGGGTTGAGAATGATCGCCCCGGAGGATGGCGGCGAGGTGGAGCGGATGAGATCCGAGTAGCCACCGCCATCGTCGCTGCAAAACTCGTCCAGCTTCCTCCTCTTGCTGGCGGCAGCGGAGGAGTTAGAGTTTACGTTGATCATGCCAGCGGCGGCCGCGGCCGCGGCGCTGGTTAAGTAAGGATGATCCGCTTCTTTCCGCTGGAAGGGAGCTCCGATCTCCGGAGGAACCATCTGGGAGGCGCAGCTGATCGTGCCGTTCTGATCGCGCATGAGGATGATCCGCTCGTGAAAGCTCCGGTGGCAGCCGCAGGCCTCGCATTTGCGCTCGCCCTTGAAGCTCGAGGAGAATTCCATGCAGCCGTCGAGCACCGGGGTGGCGGAGGTGTGGTTTTGGTTGCGCTTGCACGCGCCGTAGGCGACGAGCACGTCCATGACTTTGGAGTGGAACTGGATGGATTTCGCGAGCTGCTGGTGGAGGTTTTGCTGCTGCTGCTGCTGCTGCTGCTGATCCAGGCGAACGAGGTTGGAGGTCTCGAGCAGCTTTGGCGACTCCTTGCTATCTTCGTGCTGTGGCAAAAGCGAAATTTTCTCTTAAGAGTTGTGATTCAATTGGCAAAGAAGAAGAAGAGATGAAGTTTGTTTCGCTAGAACAAAGCAAGGAAACAAGCAAACGATCCAAGAAACTTGGAGAACATACCACATTTTGCGTATCATCCATCATGCGCGCTGGATCTGTGAGCAAAGTTCTCGCATTAATAAAAGAGAGGAAAGATTAAGAGAGAGAGAGAGAGAGCGAGCGAGCGAGGAAGCAAGGAAGAAAGCGAGAACTTTGGATGGAAGAACACACACACTTGGAGGAGAGGAAGAACACACACTTCAAACTTTGATGGAAGAAAGAACACGCTAAACTCTCAAAGGAGCAAAACGCACATAGGTATTTTTCAAAAAGAATGGAGAGAGAATTCAAGGATCTGCATTCTCTGCGCGTCGATCTAGCGGGCGGGAGAAGCCGATCAAACCAAGCAGGAAAGGATGGAGGAGATCGATCTCCAGCAACAGGAGTCGCCCTAATCTCTCCAGACAACGAGAAAAAGAAAGACAATCACACGGGCGCCCGAGGTTTTAAGGCCGCGATTCACGCACCTGGGCGAACGAGATAATGGATGGATCGATCACTGGCGATGTCAATCAGGGCCCCTGGTTCTTGCGAGCCGCCGAGAGGGCGCGATGGCGATGCACAGCGCAAACCCACATGAAATTTCTTGAGGAACTCCAACTCCAAAGAAAAAAAAAGAGGAGAGGAAGAAGAAGGTAAAACACACTATGTAGCCAAGCAGAAAAAAATGCACAGGGAAATCCAGAGATCGGAGCCCTTGATCACGAAAAAATTGTTACGCCATCTTTTCTTCTTGTTGTTGCTGCTGCTGCTACTGCCATAGCCAAGAAGAGCTTGGTGCTCACAAGCTTTTGGGTTGCCTTATTTTTAAGCATAAGAAATGAAAAAAAAAAAAAAAAAACTTTGGCAGGAAAAAAAAAAAAAATCACACAGAATGCCATGCCACTACTTTAGCTTAGCCTAGCAGCTAGGTAGGACCTAAAAGAAAAAAAAAAGAGCTGGAAGAAGAAAAAAAGGGAGAGCAGGAAGGATTGGATTCAAAGCAAAGATGCAATGGACAAACAACAACTTAGCCAGGAAAAAAAAAAAGGTACCCAAAGCCGAAAAGATGATGAAAAAAAACACACCTTTGCTTCCTGTAGGTTTCCCTTGGATCTGTGTGTGCAGTTCTGTGTGGTTTTTTTTTGTTGGGAGCAGGAAAAAGCCATGCCTGTCAACAAACACATCCCAAAGGAGAAGCAACACAAAATGCCAGAGATTAAAAAAACTTCCCTTTTTTTCCTCAAAACAGTTGTAATTGTTTACTCAATTGCTTATATATTGCTGGTTTGGTGGGGAGAATTTTTTTGTATAACTTACTGGCCCCAAGCTTGGTGCTTGTAACAAAATCCAAATAAGATACACGGAAATAGAAAAAAAAACGGTGAGTGCGTCTCCCAAAGAAAAATATTGTAACTTTTTATTTTCTTAGTATTTTCTAAATAAAAAATCAAAGGTCACAGGTGCAAAGTTGTTGCGAGGTAGGTGTACGAGTAGAGTTGCGTGTACAAGGTATGGTGTGGTTTTACCGAGCTTCGCCACCTTTCTTTCGAGCTAAAGTTGGCAAAGAAAAAACACAGTTCAATAGTAAAATTTCTAAAGTTTAAAGGGTTCTGATCGCGGAAAGTTGTAGTTTGAATTGAATGCCGCCACCTTTCTACCATTTTCTTACCATTAGTGGAAAGATGCCTTAAAACGTAGGCACTACGTGTTGGAATAAAAACAATGCAAATAAATACTATTTTGTAGATCTCGAAATACCCTGTTGCACATGCCCTGATCTGAAATATAACTAACAACATGAGTGGATTCCGGAGTTTATGAAAAAATAGGAAAAAAAAATAGCTAAGACACTAGCATATTAAGTGCAGCATCTAATCATACTTTTGGATGCATCGACTACGACTCGGTAGCCTCCAAGACTTAAAAAGTAGAGAAAAATGCACGCAGCTTTGGATTAGTTTGTTGTTCTCAAGTGGCCACGTGAAAGACTAGTATAATTTAATGACAACGAAACAATGGTGCCTAATACTATTCTTTTGGATCATTTGAGCAATAAGTATTTTCCATCAGTTTATTACTCTCTCATCTTTTGATTGAGTGTAGTAGGTGCAAGAAAACAAAAAAAAAGAGGAAAAAAACCTCAATCACGGTCTTCTAGAAGGGATTTTAGATTAAATATGCTAAATGTCTTTTCGAGAGCGAATAAAAGACGAAAAAAAAACTGGTAACTTATTATTTTAACTTAGAATCTACACCCGCTTTTACTTTATGTCACTGTTGCTTGCTCGCTCGCTCCCGTTTTCCTGGTCTTTTTCTTTTTCTTTTTTAAATTTTTATCTTGTCAAACTATTTTTCTCTCTCTCCTGCCTTTGTTTTCTTGTCAGCATGTCCTTGCTCTTATCGTTCATTGTCGTCAATTTTATGCCAGCCCGGACCACGCAATGCAAAGAGCACCTACATAAAACAACGACGAAGAAGGAAACCAATGGATGGTTAGTCAAGCAGCAGCGAGAACAAAAGAAACCAAAAGAAAGGAACCACGCACATTTTCCACTGGCAGAGATCAAGAATCACTACCGGCATCGATCTCTGATACAGTAAAAACTGTCTAAACAGAAAAAACTTCGAATCTTACACGAGCGCTTTGCTTATTTTCTTGTTTTTGTCAGCCATTGCTTTAAAACGAATCCAAACCGCAATGGAAAGAGCGCCTACATAGAACAATGAAAAGGAAACGGTGCATGATTAAGTGGAAACATTGCTGATGGAGTAAAGAACTCTTTACCCTCATTCTTGAGGTTGCCGCGTAGAATGTAACCTATCGAAAGAGCTGCTTCATACGAGAAAATCTGAAAAAAATAAAAAATAAAAAATCTGGTTCGGAAAAAGAAAAGAAAAGAAATTCGGACTGTAAAGCGTGTACCTCTTCGTCAAACATGGAAGCATGTGGAGTTTTCAGTACAGAGAAAGGACTTGACTCCATGAACTCTTCTACCAATGCGCGACCGTCCACCTGACCCATTCGTCAAACGCGTAACCAGAGAGATGTTCGGGAAGATCTTCCTGGAATTGGAGCGAGCAAATCATCTTGTCAGTAAAAAAACAAAACAGCTTCGCAAACCTTTCTCCACAAAAACCGAAAGTTGTCCGTGCACAATCTCCACGACTTGTGCTCCATACTGCTGCTTTCACCATCGTCAGAGCCAGAATTACTTGAATCCTCTGTATCCTTTCGGCTCTTCCGACTTTTCCTCTTCTTCCTCTTCCTCGGGGTTACTGGAGCCGCGTCGGAACGTATCCCGTTCTCTTTGAATAGAAGAGGATAGGAGATCTGACCGCTATTCTCCGTGAGATACCAATAAAGCATCAGTGCTTCCAGCCCCAGGAACTTCAAGCAACTCCACTTATCCAGCTTCAAGTTCTGCCTCCTCACCGCCCACACCACCGCTGGATCACACTCGGCCTCACCAAGTAGTCGCTTCAAAACCTTTGTTTCTTCCTCGTAGTCTTCATCCCCAACGATCTTCACTATCTGTCTCCTGTGGTTGGCACAAGCGTTGCAAACGATAGCATCGTAGAGCGTCGGGCACCTTTCCTCGGATAGAATCACCTCTTGCAGCCAAGTCTTTTGCTTTTCCCGGCCGCCACCTTTCCTCTCGTTCTTTCTCGGTCCCTTGCTGCTCATCTGGAAGACGAGCTCGTTCACGAAAGTCAAGAGGCTCTCCTCCGAGAGGAGATGGAGCACGCAGTTGGAGAGCTTGGACAGCGATTCCTCCGCGAGGTAGTCTTCCACGAGATTCCAAGTCTCTGGGCAATCGTCCACCATCATCTTCTCCTCAAGCGCGTTGATGAAGAAGTCTATGTCGAGGCTCAAAAACTCTCCATTCTTCATGGAGTCCCAGAGCTCGTCAGACCTCCAAAAGGATGGCACCTTGTCGAGGAAGTTGTCCACTGTTCGCAACACATCAAGCTCGAGGAAGTAATGTGGCTTTGACGCGACCGTGGCCGGAGCTTGGCCGTGCTTGCCATTCCAATCGAGCTCATGCCAGCAGGATTCACGATGGACGAAAGTAAATCGAGCCAGCGCTCGAGCACCCCACTGGTGATCGCTGTTGCCACCGCTCGAGAACTTCCCAAACCACTGAAGTATTCTCTGTGAATCTCCTGCGCAAGCAACCCATGAATCACATCCATGAAGCGAGATTCGATGGTTTACCTTCGAAGAATCGCCTTAGAAGTCGATCGTCGCGAGCGAGAACCCTCGCTGCCCACGCGGGCCTGTTCTCGCACAGCATCCGGATGACGCGCTGCCGAATACTGCGCCCTTCCTCGCCATCTTTCGAGACGAGCCCTAGAAACGCAGCTCTTTGCGCCGCCGGGGGCAAATCAAGAGATCCCAGCGCCGCGCACAGCCACATCCGGCCTTCGCCCCCTAGAACAATCTTCCTCACCAGATCCTCCACGCATTGCAGCCATTTCCAGCGCCGCTCCACCGCCTCCTCGAAATCCTTGCCGGCCGCCCTGTCTGGCGCTGGTGGCGGCAAACAAAGAATCGCCATAGCTTCTCTAAAGCCCTAATGTTATGCCAACTGGTCAAATCCCCCAAGAACCCTAAAAACAGGGCCATGGCGGACGAGCGCTCTAGGCGCGGTAAGCTATGCGGCATTTCTGTTTCGCCAGGGTCTCACGGGAGAATCGCTAGCTCCAGATGCAAGGATCATCAGGGAGTCCAGGTACACGGCCGTTCTGCTGGAAACCTCTCCGTCCGTGCACGACATTCCAGGCCTGACGACTGCATCGGGTGAGAATGGCTGCGAAATATCGTGTGCCAAGGCCATGGATCGCTAAATCTCTCGCTTTTAGGACGCGCGCTGTCGCAGCCGTCTGTGGAAAATCTGGAGCGAGCGCTGGAGCTCATGGACGCAAGGGTCCAGCTTCACGACAACGAGCTCGAGGACTACCTTCTCTTGCGCTCCCCAGCGAGAATCGTAAGCTTAATAACTACGCTTGAATGATCGCAAGTGCTGTGATCAAACACCAGGTTGTCTCTGAGCAGCCCGAGCAGCCGATCGACGTAGATAACCCAGAAGATTTCCAGCTAGAAGAATAACTTCGGTAGGTTCCATTCCAGATGTGTGATCGTTCCTCGATGAAATCGAACTTCCAGGAACTCGAGCACATAAAACTCTGGGGTGGTAAGACGAGAGATATCTGCGTGAAGAAGACAAACAAGTAACAGTTCTGTAGAACCTTTGCGGAGTGTAGAGCTCGCAGAGTAGAACTTACTGGATCTGGAAACGGTTTTGGAGATTGTTTCCTCTTGCACACCACAAGTTTACAACGTCATTTAGGACAATCATTGTTCTTGCATGTATAATATAAATAATCACACATATTTGGATTTCGGTTGTGAGCTCAACATCCTTTTCTTGCCGACTTCCCCTTTAGGCTGCTCAAAGTTTTCACAATGGATTCTATCAGGAGATTGAGCGAGCAATGGAACTCAGGCATAGATCACCTCAACATGGCAGTCGCTCGGAGCAGAGTCGGGAGGTATTTCAAGCTGGAGGAGCGAAACTCTTGCTTCACTCGAGAGGTGAGAGCCGGCACAGCAACTTTCCTCACGATGGCATATATCCTCGCGGTGAACGCCAGCATACTCACCCACTCTGGCGGTCCCTGCGGCATCTCGGACTGCTCGCTGGTCTGCTCCAACGCCACCATCCTGGCACAGCGCTGCTCGGGCCTCACTCCCGGCGGTACACCGCTCACTCTAGTCAAGCCAGGTGCCGAGTGCAAGGACCCAGGGGCCCAGAACAAAGGATACTCCGACTGCCTGGACCAGACGAAGCGTGATCTCATCGTTGCCACGGCAGCTTCCTCGCTCATCGGCAGTGTCATCATGGGAGTCTTCGCAAATCTCCCGCTCGGGCTGGCGCCTGGGATGGGAGCAAACGCCTACTTTGCGTACACCGTCGTCGGCTTCCACGGCTCCGGAAGTGTCTCCTATGGTGGAGCTCTAGCGGCTGTGTTCGTCGAGGGACTGATCTTTCTCGGGCTGGCAGCACTCGGCCTCAGGACTCGGCTGGCCAAGGCCATCCCCCGCCCCGTCCGCATCTCCAGCGCGGTTGGTATCGGTGTCTTCCTCACCTTAATCGGCTTGCAGTCGAGCGAAGGCGTCGGGCTCATCGTCTTCAGTCCGTCATCTCTGGTGACGCTGGGTGGATGCCCGGCAGCGGACCGAGTAGCGGTAGCACCGGTTGTCACCAACACCACAACCGGTGTCTCCCGTCTCATGCCCGGCGGTACCATCTCCTCTAACGTCCTGTGCACGCGTAACCGGATGGAAGATCCCACTCTCTGGCTTGGGGTCGTCGGCTTCGTCATCATCGCGTATGCTCTCATCAGGGGTGTCAAAGGTGCCATGATCTACGTGATGAGTGATGAGTGATGAAGGCTTGGCTCATCGGCTCGGCACTTGGAACTTCCCCTGCAGCATCCCCCTGCAGCATCGCTCATGAAGGCCTGGTACTGCCCCTCGAAATTGCCATTCTCGTCGACGTAGCCGGCGAACTTGGCCATGGAGTAGAGAGTTCCGGTGGTATCCAGTATGTCGACGTAGAGGAAGGTGATGAGCGCCACCCAGAACTGGCTCTTGCCCATTTCAGCAAAGGAGAGAGCTCCAGCGGTGCCTTTGATGGTGTGAACGTCGACCACCTTGCGGAAGTACGAGTAGGCCGTGTTACCAGCGTCGGTATTTGGGAAGTACGTCACCTTCGTTCCCCGGAACCAGGAGATGCCGGTGACGAAGACAATGCCGTAGATCATGGCACCTTTGACACCCCTGACGAGAGCATATGCGATGATGACGAAGCCGATGACCCCAAGCCAGAGAGTGGGATCTTCCATCCGGTTACGCGTGCACAGGACGTTAGAGGAGATGGTACCGCCGGGCATGAGACGGGAGACACCGGTTGTGGTGTTGGTGACAACCGGTGCTACCGCTACTCGGTCCACTGCCGGGCATCCACCCAGCGTCACCAGAGATGACGGACTGAAGACGATGAGCCCGACGCCTTCGCTCGACTGCAAGCCGATTAAGGTGAGGAAGACACCGATACCAACCGCACTGGAGATGCGGACGGGGCGAGGGATGGCCTTGGCCAGCCGAGTCCTGAGGCCGAGTGCTGCCAGCCCGAGAAAGATCAGTCCCTCGACGAACACAGCCGCTAGAGCTCCACCATAGGAGACACTTCCGGAGCCGTGGAAGCCGACGACGGTGTACGCAAAGTAGGCGTTTGCTCCCATCCCAGGCGCCAGCCCGAGCGGGAGATTTGCGAAGACTCCCATGATGACACTGCCGATGAGCGAGGAAGCTGCCGTGGCAACGATGAGATCACGCTTCGTCTGGTCCAGGCAGTCGGAGTATCCTTTGTTCTGGGCCCCTGGGTCCTTGCACTCGGCACCTGGCTTGACTAGAGTGAGCGGTGTACCGCCGGGAGTGAGGCCCGAGCAGCGCTGTGCCGGGATGGTGGCGTTGGAGCAGACCAGCGAGCAGTCCGAGATGCCGCAGGGACCGCCAGAGTGGGTGAGTAACTCTGGGGTAACAGGCCTTGGAACTTCCCCTGCAGCCGACGAGCGATGAGCGATGCTTCATGAGCGATGCAGCAATCGTGGTCGGCTCGGCACTTGGAACTTCCCCTGTCACCGCTTTCATCGAGTCGTCCACGGGAATTCGAGAAGGTGGGAGAACCGGGATTACTGCTCTTGCTGTGGCGATGTACTTTTTCCTGGCGCTGTTTTTCACACCGCTGCTGGCTTCTATTCCACCTTGGGCAGTTGGACCGGCGCTTGTTCTCGTCGGAGTTTTGATGGTGAAGTCCGTCAAGGAGATTGACTGGGATGACATGAGAGAAGCCATCCCGGCGTTCATTACCATCATCCTCATGCCTCTTACGTACTCCATTGCTTATGGCTTGATCGGCGGCATTGGTACGTTCATGGTGCTGAATGGACTCGACTGGCTCTTTTGCAAGACCGAAAGGCCACGATACCGCCCGCAACAAGTTGATACAGTGGAAAATGGCAGAGCTATAGAGCAGGTCTGTCGTAGCGGCATGTCTCTAGTCCTGGCCGCGCAAAGGAACAACAATGTCAATAGCTAGATCAAAGTTTTAAAACAATGACAAAGCAAATGTCTGTGAATATCAAATCCAAGTCCTGTTTTGACTGACGATGGTGCTGGCCGACTGGGATTTTTCTTTTTTTGGCTTTCGCAGAATCTCTCGCAGTTAGTATCCCTTAACTATGATATGCTGCTGCAGCAGAGTGGAAAGGATCTGCCAAAGCCTTGAAAATTTCATGCTGGAGTGACACTCCTTTTTTCCCGTCTTCCTTTAGAGCAGAGAACTACTTAACAGGGAACATAGAAGGGTGGTGTGATATATGTACAATAGCATCTCTTTCACACACTCCCAGCGATGGATCTGGAAATGCCAGCGCTTGAATCGCTAGGATCGACGACGTTCTTGAAGCGATGCACCATATCTTCTCAAAGAGCTGTGCGTTCTGTTATGATCGTCTGAGAGCGCCAAGAACTTTCATCACCTTGAACGAAAATTGCTGAAGGAGTATTGGTTTGAAGGTGGGGAGCCGAATTCCGCAAGATCATTGCACTCGTCTCTCTGGATCAAAAGTTTAGATAACAAAGAAAAACTTGCGACTCGGCTTATCCCTTCCTCGTGTTTACTGCTCACTGAGCTGCTACTGCCATCACAACTACTTTCGTAATCGCTAGATTCCGGGAACTCTTGCTTTGCGTAGACCGTAAAAGACCACTTGTGCTAACATGTAATATAGCTCGTATCGTGGGCTCCTTCGGGGCTGGGAATGATACCATTAGCTTAGCTTTATAAAAATCCGAAAGAGATTAGTACCAATGAAAAAGTTTCTCAAAAAACAACAAAAGAAAACAGACCAAAAGGCAACTAACCTCCTCGAGGAACGTCTTTTAGATCCAAGAACCACCACACGTTATTTTCAAATCTCTCTGGCTTCTGCTGTTCTTAACCTCATGGAAGGAACTCCAAACCTGGACAGGCCTAGACCTGGAATCAATAATTGTCGATCCAAACTACGAAACTAGCATGCCAAAATCATGAAAGAACCAAACAAGAAGGAAAAGAGAAAAACTCACCGTGATTATTGCTTTATATCGATCCCACATTTTTAGAGAAACAAGATCATACCTTCAGGACGAATCCCGGAGGTAGAATAGCTTCACTAAGTTTCATCCCAGATGTGTGATCCTTCCTTGATAAAACTCGAACTTCCAGGAACATAAAGCTAGATCGGTAAGTTGCCAATGCTTTCATGCTTCAATCCGTTTAAGCTCGTGCTCGTTTGATCTTCCTTCCAGGGACTTGATCGAGCAAATAAAACTCTGCTATCGCTTGCCATGAATTCGAGAAGCGCCCAGCAAGCTGGTCCAAACCACATGGTCGGGCTCAAACGGCATCGTTCTACTCAGCTCTCTAGCATCTGCAAGCTTTCCGGATCTCCCAAGCGTGTCCACCATGCAGCAGTAGTGATCCACCGTGACTTCCACATCGCGATAGTCACCTTGCATTGAGACGAAGTATTCACGAGCAGCGTCCACTTGTCCTTGGTAGCTGCAAGCCGAAAGAATCCCCACGAAGGTCAGCTCATCTGGTCTTTCCCCAAGGAGCTCCATGGCAGTGAAGAGACCGAGAGCCTGGTCGGCCCGCCCATGCTGTGCGTAGCCAGTAATCATCGAGTTCCAGGAATCGGTGCTGGGGCTCTCGATCTTCTCGAAGATCCTCCGAGCTCTCTCAAGCTGGCCGGCGTGAGCGTAGGCTCCGATCATCGTGTTCAGTGCCAGGAGATCGTGCTGCGCCATCCTTGAGAAGAACTGCGATGCCTGATCTGGGTGGCCAACTCGAGCAGCGAGAGTGACAGCAAGAGTCCAAGTTACAACGTCCCGGCTCGACGCTCTCGAGAACAAAGCCAGTGCTTGATCCAAGTCCCGGAAAGTCACACACGAATCGAGCATCAAGTTCCAGGACACCGCGTCTCGATCCGGCATTGCTTCGAATAGCTTCTTGGCATCCTCCAGGCGATCGCTGTGAGAGAACGAGCACAAGATCAAGTTCCACGACTTGAGATCACGCCGTGGCATCAAACAAAAAGTCTTAAACGCTTCTATCAGCTCGTGCTTTTGCGAGAGCCCCGTGAGCATCGCGTTCCAAGAAGCTAGGGATCTCTTGGGCATCGCTAAAAAGAATATGCGGGCTTTATAAATATGCCCGCATTGGGCATATGCGGTTAGCATCGCTGTCGATGCCAGAGAATCTGGGCTAGAGAGCTTACTATAAACTCTCTCTGCGTCATACAGACGGTAGCTGTGTGAGAAAGCTTGTATCATGGCCGTTGAGATGAGATTGGTTTGGAAGCCAGAAGATATAAACAGTTCCTTTGCATGCTCCAGATGCCCAGTCTGGGCATATGCTTGGATTAGCGTTGTCCACGTCACATCCTCGGGATTAGGCATCTGGGCTAAGATCCTCTCGCCACGGGCTAATTGCCCATGTCGCGCAAGAACCCTAATGATGGCATTGTATGCCATGGCATCACGCTCGGGGAGTCTACTGAAAATCTCCCACGAATCGGCAGCAGCGGCGGCGGCGGCGATGATCATGGCTGTCCAGGAGAGGAGGTTCCGCTGAGGCATTTGATCGAAGAGCGATTTGGCGCTGGCGGATGAGGATTCGCTGCTGAGCATCGTGTTCCAGGTAACGAGATCGTGGCAGGGGATTCGCTGGAATAGGAACCGAGCGCTGTGGAGCTCTCCATTCTGGCTCAAAGCCGCGAGCAGGATGTTCCAGGAGAAGACATTCCGGGACGCGATGTTGCGATCAAAGACCTCAATCGCATTGCCCGTGCAGCCACATTTCCCAAACATGTCGATGAGAAGATTTCCCAGACGGGTGTCCTGATCCAGGCATCGATATGGATTGAGCTGGATTGCTGCCAGAATCTGCCGCGCCTGTGCCAAATCCCTGGCCTTCGCGCATTCCCTCGCCAGAAGAGAGAAATCCATTCAAGTTCCAAGTATTTGGATGGGCCGTCATCTGACCAGAGAAGCTCGCAGTGATGCTACCTCGTCGCCCCAGTGGCACTTCCCACGACGGCCCGCCACTCTGCGCTCAAATTCCGTGGGGATTCCATAAGAACTCCACCGAAAATCACTAGAATTTCCTACCAGGACGACAGAATCCCGAGCTGCGAGCGCGAGGATGTCCGCGCATGACACGACCCCCTTGCAGCTGCTCTCGAGAGACGATTTAATCGCGTCGATTGCTTTGAATCCTCTGATGGAATTGTTGTTGGGTCTGGCGGTATTCTCCCCCTGGAAAGTGGGAGTATCGTCCAGCAACACGACGCCCTAGAAAATTTCAAATTCAAACAGGGGGACGAATGTTAGCGGTCGATTGTTGCCGATCCAATGGACGAGAAGGCGACTTACTTCGTGGAAATGGAGACGAAGAAGCGACGCTGGCAATCGCGAGTCGGATTGCGCAGCGTTTGCGACCCCGGCCTTGACGATCTTCTCGACTTGCGGGCATGTCGAATCGTACTAGCCAGTCGCGAGCGCCGCCTCCGCCGAGAAGGCCAGAGACGAAGTAGCGATCAAAAGCAGCAGGAGAGAATACGTAGAGATCATTGTCAATCACGAAGAACAGAGGGAAGAAACTCTTTTAAGAAACTTCCAGTGTTCTTTAGTGTGCGTCCTCTTTTGGATCGCTAGATTGCCTGAGCTCCCAAGTTCTTAATATTACTCTAAAAACCTCTAGAAAGCTATAGCTATGGAGTGATCCCGAGGTGGCCTTTGGCTGACTACCCTGGGTCACTAGCAACGTAGAAGACTAGAATTCAACTATGGAGTCTCGACTTCCATGAGTTTTCGTTATATATATACTATACCAGCTACACAGAGGTAAATTCACGGAGAAAAGTTCCAGCGAAGGGTGCTCTAGAGCTTCCCATTCCTCTTTATTCGCTCTATATCGTCGTCTATTGTCTCTGTGGTTGGCACTCCATCACTTCTAGCTTCCAAAAGAAAGAAGGAAATTTCTTTGACATACCGTGACGCCAATAGCATGGTCTAAGCCCTTGAGCTTGAGCGTAGCGAAGCACCGGGAAGCCCAGGGACACGCATACGAGATGTAGAGATGGTACCTATCGGCCACGGCCGGAATATCACACCCTTCTTTGCTAGAAATCCAGCTGCGAAACGATGACTCGGTGCGCTTGAATTCCCCATCCGTCGATGTCTCATCGATCGCCGTCTTTCCCATCGCTCGTCCAGCTCCAAATCGCCTCTTCTGGATCTGAGCGGCAAATCTCAGTGATCCTCTGGCGATCCCGACGGAGAGAGCCGCCAGATTGACTTCCTGTTGCCCGCAACGTGGCAAGCATTTCTTTTCTACTTCGATTTGGATTACTTTGGGCTCTGTTTTTTAGGGTTATGATGCTGGGAGCTGCCCGGCGATGGCGATGGCGTCTCCCGGCGTGGAATCTGGGAAGCAGGAGCTTGTATTCCACGCTCATGGGTATGTTCTTGCGAAATGTAGGTGGATTGGAGACATGGATTTTCTATCTCCAGACAAGCATGCGCCCATTCCCGACGATATTTTGCGAATTTTGGAGAAGAGAATGAGCTCTATTGAAGACCGCCATGCTTGTCTTTCCAAAGCGCTTCTAGAGGTAAAGTGTAGATTCGGATTTCGTCCTTGAAAATACGATCGTGAATGATTTCAGCCTGGGATTGCGTCAGAAAAGCTCATCAAGATGAACAAGGAGCTTCGCAATCTGGATTACTCCGTGGATATGATCAAGGCGCTGAGAGCCAAAGAAAAGGTTTGACGTCTAAAGTTTGGAAAAAAGAGACTCTTTGGTTGAATGCAGGAAGTAATTGGCTTGAAAGAATTGGTAAAAGAGTCCGTTGAAGACGAAGAAATGCGTAGGCTGGCCTCTGGAGAACTTCAAACGGCCACCAGAGAAGTGAGAGATGCTCAGCACGATGTTCTCCTGGAGCTTATTCCTAAGGATGAAGCTGATAGCAGAGGTTGTATTCTCGAAGTCAGAGCAGGCAAGTGCTCTCTGATGTGCTTGATGTTTGATATGTTTTATCTAATTTTTAGGAGCTGGAGGTGACGAAGCGTCAATTTTTGCGTCTGATCTCTTCAAGATGTAGGCACGTCTTTCTGGTTCATGTCGAATGCTTATTAGATTTCTATGAATGCTCTCAGGTATGAGAAATATGCTGCAAACAACTCATGGAGGTTTGAAGTTCTGAGCATTACTACCACCGACACCCGATGTTACAAGGTAACTATCCGGTTCTCCACGGGCGTATCTAAGCTTGTTTTTATAGGAGGCTAGTGCTGCAATATCTGGAGATGGTGTTTATGGAGCTCTTAAGTTCGAAAGTGGCGTTCATCGCGTCCAGGTACGAAAGTAATTACCGTGGTTTCATTTTTTTATATGCATCCGTGTGCAGCGTGTTCCTGTCACTGAGAAGGCTGGGCGTATACACACAAGTACTGCGTCAGTCGCTATTCTTCCCGAAGCGAATGAGGTTCACTCCAGGTTTACTAAACCTTTGCACTTGCATAGACCATTGATACATGTTTCTTTTTCTCGTTTTTCTGTTGCTGAAGTTTGACTATGCTGACAGATTGATGTCGAGATCCGTAATGACGAGATAAAGATAGACACTTACCGAGCTGGTGGAGCCGGTGGACAGCATGTAAATACTACCTGCAGCGCAGTCCGAGTTACCCACGCTCCAACAGGTATCGTGGTCGCAATCCAAGACGAACGCTCTCAACACAAGGTAGGCCCTTCAACACGCGTGCTTTGCTACAACTGAGCTGAGATTGTATAGAACAAAGCAAAAGCTTTGAGTATTTTATATGCTAGGCTGTACGAGCTCGAGCGGTCCCGAGCAGCGGCAAGTCGGTCTGAATTACGACAAGATCAGGTAATTCAGTTTATTGTCGCAGAACGTTATTTTTTCCATTTTTATAAATTGTCACTCCAGATCGGCTCAAGCGACAGATCGGAGCGCATAAGAACGTATAACTTTCCCCAAGGTCGGGTAACTGATCGTCGAGTGGGAGTGACGCAACACGCGATTGAGCAAATTATGGAGGGGATTGGTCTGGAAATTTTTGTGAATGCGCTCAAGATGCAGCACGAAGCGAGCGCTTTGGCGTCGCTCAAAGCTGCAGCAGCTTGACTACCCATAAGTTTCACTGTTTTTTTTTCTTCCTATGTTTTTTTTACCGTGTCAGATGTTGACAATTGGAAGCATTTGTTTGAACGTCAGGTGAGTGTTCTATTATAAATGGCAACAGCACTGACTTGTTTCCATGCACAGGACCGTCATCGGATCAATGTGCGTGGACGGCACGAAGCTGATCATGTAGGCCTCTTTCATGCGACGATGTGAGCTAAAAAATGGAGTGGGGGAAGTCAGAGGTGCCAGGCCACCTACTTAAACGTTTCTCCTGAAAGAATCAACATCTTGGTCAGTAGCAGAGGAGGATGGTTCATGAAATGACGGCTGCCGATGGGACGCTACGGGTGGTTTCTTTTCCTTGGTGCATTAAGTTCCGGAGCGTTTGCAAGAATCTCTTGAAGCGGATGAAACTCATCGGTAGAAGGTCGTCAACTCGTGGGGTGCTGGTGAAGAGCAGCAGCAACAAGCACAGGATCAGTTGGACAGCGAGCTTTGCATACAGGCAGCAGCAGAAGCAAAAGCTCAAGAAGTCGGGAAGCACAGCAAACTCAAGAACAGTGATAGCTGCACGGAAGCTTTAGATCGCCAGGAAGTCGTCCACCGCAACTTAGAGGACTCTCAGGCTTCGTCCAGCAGCTTCTCGTTCAAGAATGATGCGGAGAACCTTGGGCATGGCAAAGGCAAGGAGATTTTGTCACCGCATCCTGGCGTGCAGCGCAGTGAGGCTATGAAGCTCAAATCGAGGTGGGACGAAGTGGTGGAGATGGTTGTAGCGGACAGCTTTGATGATTTGGTGGACTTGGAGGAATTTCTGGGCTACTATATGCTGCTCAATTGCCCCGTCTTTCGAGCCATGGTTCAGAGGTTTTTTAGCGAGTTTTGGACGAGGAGCTTCTAGCTGTCAGCTTGTTCATCCCAGAAATGCAGGATTTTCCCTCTTTTGGGAATTCTTCTGAAAGGGAATTAGAATGCTTGCCGCCATCGCCTTGCTAGTTTAAAGGAATAACGTTTCTCGCTCCTAAAGAGAAAAAAGAGAAAACGTCGTTCTAGTAAAGCATATTTTCACCACAATGTATAAGGTAGAAAATAAATATGCCATGACTTTTACTTTACATTTGAAAAAGTTTCTAAAATATTAAAGAGTCTTACCTCCATAAAGGTTTGAATAAACAATAGATTAGTTTTGGTTTAAACCAGACGAAAAGGTCACCTCTTGCCAGTCACTGAAAGTTTCACCTCTCCTCATCTCTCAGGAATCCACCTCTTTTGGTTTAAGCTGAATTTCGCCACAACCAGCTTGCTCTTGCTGCTCCGCCCAGCACGAATTTGTGCTAGCCTGCACGACAAAAACAAAATAGATTTTGCCCTTGTTGTAATATGGATCAGCAGGAAATCTGATCCAGCAGATAATCTTGTAGTGGGCTAGTGACATGGATTAAGTGGCCTAAAGTCTCGGAGTCATCATTCCGTACTAAAGCCTTAAAAAGTTTTTCAGAGAAGTTTAAGTTAAAACAGAATGCCTCATGGATTGTGCATTGCCATGAGGCCTTGCGCAGATTTTACTCATAAAATATACTTTACATTCCAACAAATATTCTGGTACCGTATCAGAATATTTGTTTAAATGTAAAGTATATTTTCATCGCCCTTAACAGCATACCTAGATTATTTGGTAAGTCAGTAAGAAGAGAGAAATGAGAGACGTGCTAGTCAAGGACATCCATCATCTCCAAAACTACCCAGTCTTTGGTTCACAGACATCACAGCAGGCTTTTGTTACGTTTGGGAGCGTGGGGGAGCTCATGGCCTTCTTGCGACAGCAGCACCCACTCTGCCCACACGGCTGCGATAGCTCGGCACTCACCAAGTTTGATTACTTCGAAAACCACATGCTGATCCAGCCGCGCTACAAGTGCACGGTGTGCAAACGGCACTTCACCCTGGGTGGCACAATACGAGCGAAACGAGCCAAGAAAGAAGATGGCGGTCGTCCAAGGAAGAGACCCAAGAAGGAGCAGCAGCAGAACAAGTCAAGGGGGCAGTGTCTTCCTCGCGAGATGTTGCCTTCGTCGATGATTCCATCGGCCGCAACCAGTGGGAGTCGCGGTTGTGCATCCCCGCGCAGGGCAAGTCCCGGAGCTTCGAGGAGAACGCCGAGGCCATCACCAAGCACTACAGGTCAATGCCCTAGTCAACTCGTGGTCCGGGATCAGTCGTTGCCAGTCAACGCCTGTGACCTCGAGGGATACGTGCAAGACGAGGAGATCTTCCAGGAGGTTGAGAAATTGTGGTGTAAAATGGATTTGGAGGACAAGGGTCCTTCCGTGGAGGACGAGGAGAAGAACTTTCTCAAGGATTTCAATGTCGATGAAGGTGATGATCTAGATTTACTACTGGGTCTTGAGGAGTTCAGCGGGGAGTTCAGCAACCCACAGGGCCAGGGCACCCGATTCGATTTGGGCGAGGAGCAAAACAATTTTGCCATGGAGCTGGTGCGGCAAATGGAGGAAGAATTTCCCATCCCAGTAGTAGATGAGGAGAATGATTTCGCCATGGAGTTGGAGCGGGAAATTGAGGAAGCATCTATGACAGAAAAGAAACAAGCAATGCTTGTATGGAAGGACGAAGTGCGTAAAATTCGAAATCAAGACAATCTCACATTCACCACAAATCACATTGGTTTTGGAGGTGCTCAAACTCTTAAATGCTGATCAATCAGCAAAAAATGGATGATAAATGAAAAGCATTAGTGAATAGAAGTAATTTTGTTTTTGGAACAAGTTCATTACATTATTTGTTATTCGGTGAAGAGTTTTTCATGAAAAAAGACTCACCCATCCCTTGTGAAAGAGAGAAAAAAAGAAATTAGGGCGAATTAGGTCTCCATAAGGTCGTCCCCGGAGGCAGAGGAGCCGCGATGCTGTGATTGTCAACCGAGCAGGTATTCTGGTGGCACCAATCGCGCCCTCGCCGACAATGCAGCGATCGTCCTAGCGATCGATCGATCGATCGATCGCTCGCTCCGGAGAAGAGCAGAGAAATGATCTGGGCAGGATTCGCGTACGCCGCGGGCGCCGCGATCGGCCACAGCTGCATCGATGCCAGCAGGAAATGGGCGTCCCAGCGCTTCTCGGACCGCGAGCTCGTAGCTCTGGTGGCTCTCCTGGACGCGCTGCTCCTCTCCTCCATGGCGCTCCTCTCCGGCGGCTTCGATCTCTTCTCTTTGACGCGGCTGGACACCGAGTACGTCGCCGCGCTCCTCGTCACCGCGGCGATCAAGGCTCTGGTGGGGTTCATGTACCAGCGTGCTCTCCACGTCTCCCCTCTCTCGGTCACTGTTCCTTATCTAGCTTTCACTCCAGTTCTTCTGGTTTTTACGAGCTATGTGATCATCAACGAGCTCCCGAGCTCGCAGGGGCTCATGGGAATCGTGGTGGTCACTCTCGGCGGCTACTTCCTCGCGCTGGATCACCCGGCGGAGGTGGAGGTGAAGAAATCCGACGAGCCCCCGGGCAAGATCGTCTCGGTTCTTCCTTTGCTTCCTTGGAACTCGTCCAAGGCTTGTGACAAGGTCCCAAAGTTTTCCACCGATGGCGATGGTGTCGTGCTGGATCTCAGTGAGAACAACTCCCCTCCGGTGGCGATTCCTGGAGGGAATTCTTCCTGGTGGCCACAGATTCAATGGTAAAGATTTTCTCTCTCTTTTTTTTTTGCTTTTCCTGTTCTAAAGTTTGCAAAAGGGAAGAGGGGACGCTCCTCATGCTGGGTGTTGCAGCGTTACTGAGCATAAGTAACAGGTTCGTTTTTTTTGAGATTCATTTATGGCTTCTCAGCTCCATTTTCTTTGCAGCCTTGACAAAATGGCTGGTCACTTGGCACCATCGCTTCTCAATTTTGCTGCTCTCCAACGAGGCTTTACGGCCGTTCCCGTGGTTTTATATCTACTTGTCACAAGGTTGGCTTGTTTATCTCTTTCAGGTGATAGCTTAGCTGACTCCTGCGTCAATGGTCTTCCGCCGCAGCCGTCGCCACCGCCATCCATCTCCAACACGCCAGGAGCAGCAACACCCCGATCAAACTTCTCGCTCATGCGGCTCCTCACGCCCCGCTCCGCAAGAATAGTGTCTCTTCCATTGCGATTCACGCTATCGTCTTCTTCGTCCGCGTCTCCGTCGTTTTCTTCGTCGACAGGGGCCGGGGCAGTGAGTCCAGATGCATCAGAGAAAATTTGATCTCGTCATCAAAGGTAGAACTTTTCTTTCTTTCTTTCATCGTCAACTTTGTCATCTCGTCTTCGCAGGGCAAGCAGATCAAACGCTCCAAGTCGGCGCTCGATGGTCACCAAAAGGAGAAGAAGCTCACCCGGCTTTACTCCGGAACGTTTCTCGTCAAGCCGACCACTCCTCGTCCTTGTCCCCGGGAAACTTCACAAGCAGACGATGGAGCCCAAGACACTGACCATGCCAACGACACCCAAGGTACGTAAGCTTCCTATGATCAAGTTCATGGAGACCATGGTTCCATGATCTGAAAGTTTCAAAACTTTTAGACGGCGAGGACGAGGAGATCCCCGAGGAGGAAGCAGTGTGCCGCATTTGCCTGTGCGATCTGGGCGAGGAGGGCAAGACGCTCAAGCTCGAGTGTAGCTGCAAATGGAAGCTGGCGCTGGCTCACGAGGAGTGCGCTCTCAAGTGGTTTGGGATTCGAGGCAACCGCGAGTGCGATGTTTGTGGCCAGGAGGTCGTCAATCTCCCCGTCACGCTCGTCAGGCTCCAGCAAAACCAAAACAATATCAACGCTGAAACTCAAGTTCTCCAGCAAGCTCAAATGGCGCAAATGAGTGCTCTCAACAGGTAGATTCGTCCATCTCGCTCTATAGTTTTGTAGATTCCATGGTGTTCTTCCAGGATTTGGCATGACGTTCCCGTGCTCGTCATGATCAGCATGCTCACGTACTTTTGCCTCCTCGAGCAGCTACTGGTGATAATTCTCTGATGATTTCGATTGATTTGCGAAGTTCTTGGATGGATTTCTTTGTTGCCTACTACAAGTGAGACGAAAGGGCCCTCGAGCATTGATGCTAGCTCTGCCATTCGCCGTCATGTTTGGAATGCTCACTGCCATCACAGCATCAACGCTTGGTAAGATTTCGTTTCTCTCTCTTTCTCTCGAGCTCCTGTTTGTAACAATAGATTCTTTCGACGCACAGTGAGGCGGCGTTGTATGTGGCTCTTTGCCATCTTTCAGGTCGGTTTTGTCATACGATTTGCGCATGTTTTCTACAGTTGGGTAAGATCACTCTCTTAAAACTTTTTTAGCTCTTATTTCAATCCATGATCCAGATGAAGTTGAACCCAATCTTGTCGATTTCGCTGGCCGGTTTTGCGGGATTCGGATTGTCCATGATCGTGAATGCTCTCCTCCTGGAATGTTGGAGCTGTAGAACAAGAGCAGCGCGACAAGAAGACGCAAGCCAAGATATCGTGTAAATATGTACTGTAATTCTCACACACTTGTTTTGTGATAGAACAAAATGTATGCATCGCTCGAGCACCTCGATGGCTCAAAAATCTCTTCCACCACCTCGTCGTCAAAGCTGTACCACTTTCCATTTGGAAGTTTGATGGTTGCCGTGTAGTGCCCATAGTCGGAGTCTCCCATATGGTTAATCAATCCATACAGTTTGTACTCCTGTTCCCAAAGTGTCGAAATCTGTGGAAACTCCACCGTGGTGTCGATCTTCTCCACACTCCCCGAAGAATCGCACTTAAACCTTGCCAAATGGAGGATCAAATTCCGTGGGAGCTTCCCAAGCTCCAGTTTCTTGACAGCGTCCTTTTGGTTTCTCTTGCACTTTGGGCAGTGCCAGGAGTCCAAAACATCGTCTTTGGTGTACTCCCGGATGCATGATTCCAGAGAAACCGGCTGCGCCGTCTCATGGACTGGCAGCGAGAGAGAGGTGAAAGATTCAGGCGTGGAGGAGACCATGTTGGAGCACTTGGGGCATTTCACTGTGGATTTGGTTTGGTCCTCGAAGAAATCTGCGACTGGAGAGGGGAGCTCTGGTCGCACCTTTTTTCCTTTAGGAGGATTATCTTGCTTCTTGAATTCTTGATCCAGGGCACCCAAAAGAAAATCGAGATACTCCTGTGCGTCCTGCTGGACGCTCGGATTTGTCAGCTTTGGCCCTGGTTTTACAGACTTGCTTGCGTTATTCCAAATCGCCCTCACCACTTTCCTAAACTCGATTAAGCTAGAGAGCTCCGGCGTGTGAGCAACGCACTGTAAAGCACTGTTGGCTGAACAAGAATTCCCTTGGTTTTGAAAGCCCACAGCCATTTTCCTTGCACACAACCCAAAAGAAAACCTAGAATATTTAAAGAAAACAAGCAGGCATTAAATAATTTAATAATAATTATAAATAATAAAATTATCAATTTTACATTTTTATAATAAATTTTAAATATAATTTTTTCATATGTAGTATAATATATCTCCTATATAATCGTAACACTTTAATTTTATTCTTCAACATTGCATTCCATCTAGCTAAATTCTCTTTAATATCCTTTTTAGTATATTCTCTAAAAAAGAAAAGGTTTTAATGATCTAATACCCCTTTTGGTAAAGGCTTTTCTTTATTTGGGTGCCTTTTGTGCTAAATAATGTATCAAGCTCAACTTTCTTGTGATATAAAAATTTGATTTTGTGACAAATACATCAACATAAGAAACAATTGCATAATGCTGCAAGACTAGAGGGACCAAGAGTGACAAGCAAATCAACTTGTATCACTTACATTGTGGTTTAATGCCTTGAAAGCATGTAATAATTGAAGATTAATTCAAGAATCTACAAGACTGATTACAAGAGTGAAAGGAATCAAAACCAATGGTTCATATTATCTCCAAGATCTCAGAAGACCATCACAAAGATGTTGAAGATTGCTGAAGTACATCTGGTTGGCTAGTTGCACATCCACTTGCATGGGATCTGGCATTGGTTGATCCTTAGGACACTGCATCGTGAAAGCGTAAAAAGCAAAAGAGAGAAAGCAGAAATGAGAAACGAATAATATATTATCGAAGGTGACAATTATAACTGGGAATCTAAAACTCATGTGTTGAACTTGTGGCGGTCGTGTGGAGTGGAGTAGTCGATGACGCTTCCAACAGGGATGACGCCATACGGATTGATGGAGGGATGACTTCCGTAGTAGTGCTTTTTGATGTGGTCCATGCGGACGGTGTCCGAGATCCCATCCATCTGGTACACGTCCTTGACGAAGTTGAAGAGGTTTGGGTACTCACGGATCAGCTTCTTGTTGCACTTGACATGAACAACATAAACCTGGCATAGGTAATGAATCTGAATAAAACTTCGAGAGAAAGCAAGAAAAAAAACACCCCAGAGCTTACTTCGTCGAATCTTATCAGCGTCTTGAAGAGCCGGAGATCTGCCTCGGTGAAAACGTTTCCGCACAGATACCTCTGCTTTGAGAGGATATCCTCGCAGCGATCCAGCGCATTGAACAGAGCCTCAAACGCCTGCGACAAGTAAAAGAACTTGGATTCATGGCTTCCGAACGAAGAAAAACTAAAGAAGAAAAGTTTTGAAGATTTTACCTCCTCATAAGGCTTCTGCTTTTACCTCCTCACCGCCATCTATCTTTCATAAACCCCAGTTAGGGTTTTTGCCTTCCCTGATGAAAGTGGAGGAGGTGAGGGCGCGCTCCTCGTCTCCAGGGCCAATGTCAACAATTGCTCCACGCTCCTGTCGATCGTCTCCGCATTTTGCAAGCGCGGCGCTGGATCGTCCTCGTCTGTGGAATGTGTGCTCGATCTTTCTGCCCATTCTCTCGTCCCAGGGCGTTCTAGGGAAGCCGCAGAGCGACGGTGATGTCTCGGCACCGTCGGAGACTGCCGAGGCGATCTACAGAGCTTGGCTCAAGGACAAGTTTGAGGAGCTCATAGAGCTTCTCATTGCGATCGTGGTTGGGACCGAAGAACATCGCCTCGAGGTTTTCACTCTGTTGTATTTTTCTTCTTCATTCTTCATAGAACTGCTGTTCTCGGACGTAGAATGCGGCTTTGGATTCTTTGATGGAGTTGCTTCAAGCAAAGGATGGTCGTGTGGACAATGGAATCTACTTCAAATTCTGCTCGGCTTTGACAAGGAAATCGAGTGAGACTGTTTTCGATGCGTTTGCGACTGAGCACTGCAAGGATGCGACTCTCTGGTATGCTTCCCATAGTATTTTGCTAGAAACCACACAGTAACTTTTACTTCAGCTTCTATACTGTGAAGAACTTTGAGAAGCTTGTGGCTGCTCGCCTTCAAACGTCCCAAAGAGGTTTCGTATCTCTGTAGCAGCTCTGACACTATAAATTGTCAGGAGTGGATGCTACATTGTCCAGCGACGATGATAAGAGCGTCAGGTAGCGTTGCGTGAACGTATTAAGTTGCTACTTGAGGAAGCTTTTTGCAGTGTCGATACCTTCACCCGTAACGTGTATGGAGTCATCTCACGTCTCTCGCCCTCCGTTCAAGAAATTCTAAGCACTCGTAAGGACACTGTTTCTTGGATTTCGTGGCTGAGCTTGTTTGTCCAGACAAGAAGATCACTGAAAACGCTTTGGATAAAGAAGCAAGTTCTGGAAGAATTTCCTTGGACTAATCAGCAGTATGTATTATGACAGTTTACCTTCAATCGATTCAAATCTAAAGTCAGAAACCTGTGGTTAAATTTCTTACAGCTTCCGCTACCTCTTGACTTCTATAAGATGGTGCGTGCTGCTAGTTTTTCTTCCCTTGAACAAAGTTTCTTTTCGCTGCAGGTGCTTGCTAACATGTCCAAGGTCGTTTTCTCTATAATTTCGAATCCAATACGTCTCAGGTTTCCCCATGCTATTTTACTTTATTTTTTTCTACATCGACTAACTCGGTTTGTCTCAGTGACTTTCTTACCAAGTGGTATTATCTTGGTGGGGTTTACAGCGTTTTGGCTTTAGACAGCCTGCATATTCTGATGACAAAGTATGGACTGGAGTATCCTGAGTTTTATGAGAAGCTGTACGCATTGTTGGAGCCATCAATGTTTTTCACAAAGTACCGGTCTCGATTTTTTGAGGTATGTCGCGTAAAGTATCCTTATCGTCGACGGAATGTTTATAGATTCTTGCAGTTGATGGATAGCTGCTTGAAGTCTCCACTCTTGCCAGCTTATCTAGCCGCGGCGTTTGTCAAGAAATTAAGTCGCTTGTCACTACATGCATCGCCAGCAGGATCACTAGTGGTGATAGCTATGGTTCACAATCTTCTTCGGCGGCATCCTTCGATAAATTGCTTTGTTCATCAGGTATTAACTCCAGCTTAAAGTTTAGACTAACCATTCGATCGCTCACGTTGTAGAGTTCTCGTTTGCGAGTTGCTAGTAAAGGTGAAGAAGATGTCTCGGACGCAAAGCTTGGAAGAGATCCCTACCTTGCGAACGAAAAGACATCTAATTGCCGCGCTCTGGGTAATGCTCTTCTTTTTTCTCGTGATTGCTTTACATTTCTTTTCTGTGTTTGCAGAGAGTTCGTTGTGGGAAATAGAAACACTTCGAAGGCATTACTGCCCTGCTGTGTCAAGGTAACGAAGTGTCCTTTAACGAAAGAACTGCCAAACTCTAGCGTTTTTCCAGATTTGTGAGCACGCTGGAAGCTGATCTTACCGTCAAGAGTAAGACCACGGAAGTTCAAATCACCGATTTTTGTTCTGGATCCTACTCTACTATCTTCAACGAGGAGGTAAGTTTTGTGTGTTCGCGCGTAGCTTTTTTTCGTGGCTAATGAAGGTTTTTCAGACAAAGAGAAGATTAAAGCAAGTTCCTCTAGCTTATTACAAGGTTGTCCCAAACGCATTGTTTTCCAACAATGAAGAGTTTGCGGGCTGGAGCTTCCCAAAGGAGCCAATAGAAAAGAAGCGCAAAGTAATGCAAGATCTCGTCCGTTAATGCAGCCGGCCCGACGAACGGCTCGGATTACTTCCTGTCCCGCCCGTGGCCAAGTTTAAACTCTCTTATGTAAACCTATCGTCGTAGCAGCGATGGTGTTGACGAGGAAGCGCCGCGCCGAGCTCGCGTTCCAGGAGAAACTGTGAGTGAATCTCTCTCGATTTCTGGAAATCGATCGTTCTTGGATTGTTCCAGCTACAATGCGGACATCTGGGAGTGCATCGCGACCTTCCTCGATGCGGCCGATCTAGCGCGCCTCGCCCTCACGGCGCGGTTCTTCGTGCCGATAGCCATGGATGAGCGACTGTGGAAAGCGCTGTCGCTCAAGCGGCTCGAGATCGGCATCGGCAGCGAGGCGTCGAAATTTCGGCCGCATTTCAGCTGGAGAGAGCTCTATCGATCGTCATTTGGTATGTACTCGTTGTCTCACAGATTCTTGTCCATGTTAACGCGATCGGTCTCTTGCAGTCACTGGAAGCCATAGCTACAGCATCCATGAACGCGAGAAACATCGAGGTACTCGTTACGTATACAGTCTTTCATTCCATGGTTACGTTTTCCTGTTCTAGATTGGATGCGAATAGGTGCTTTTACGCTCGTTTCCGGCAAGGCGCTCGCTGCTGGCAGGCTCTGGCAACGAATCTCAAAGTCAAAGAGGATAAAACTCGATGAGAGCTCGGCATTGTGCCTTGTGCCAAACGTGCTCCCTGGCATCTGGATCGCAGGTTTGCTTCAGTTCAAGGTTCCCTTCATCTATTCTTACGACGCTTTCATTTTGCCGTTTTTTTTTTTTTTTTCCCTCTAGATCTTCATATGATGTGCTGCCCCGTTTGTAACTTGCCTGCATGCCCTGGTTTGGGAGAATACTTACATTTTCATTATCTTCGTAGATGAGCTAAGCCTTGTTTGCAGGGACAATGCAGACACTGGACTTTCGCAACTGGGAGTTGTTCCTGCACGAAGAGTACCAGAACAGAACATGGTCCTTTAAAGAAATCGGAGTCAGGAACATCCGTGAAAACTGTGACGTCGCAGCTGGAGCAGTGTTCGATTACAAGCGCTTGATCGACAAAGACACTGCCAATTCAGGTATCCTTTCTTTTCTTTTTTTCTTTGTCAGATGTTTACTGCGGGCCACAGGCATTCTCAATTTCAAATCATGGACCGCGGAGAACGGGAACTATCAACCGACCAGCCGCGTCTCTCCCTTCGGTGCGGCTGGATGTACCAATCTTCTAAAGAATGGCGGTGCGTATAGCAAAAGACTTTTATGATGTTGTAGAGAATTAAAACTACACTTGTGCAGGTTTGCAAGTCAAGTTCTATGCCATGCATGCTGGGGTCGGCGGGCCAGTGGTGGCCATTCGCGTTTCCCAGCAACTATTTTGACTGATCGAATAATGTGAAAGAAGGCCAAGTAACCTCTCCTACCTTTCAACAAAGGTGACATCTTCTTCTTAACTTTTAGCAAGTGCCGTAAGTGAGAGCAACATCCTATCGAGGTTGAAACGCTAGAGTTCTTTGAAGCCGGTTTTACTTTGTGCTTTTGTTTTACAGGTTGAAAAACACTTTTGTATGTTCCGTAGCAAAAGCCAAATCGAGGTTGAAATGCGTGGAGGCGTTTCTAATTGTTCTTTTGAAATCTTTGCATCGCAGGTTGCAAGTCTCCTGTTCTCACGTCAGTCCTAAGACTCCTAAAAGCAGCTGGTCCCTTCGCTCTCTACTCGGAAGGAAAAACGAGTTGCTGATCCAATCGATGACTAGTGGTGGATGATGCTCGGCTTTCATCAGGATGACAGGGAATAAACTTCAAACCGTATTTCATTACCGACAGGCTTGTCAGTTTGAGCAGCTTCGTTTTGGGATTGTTACAGCTAACAGGTCCTCGCCGGCCGCCTCCTCCGGTTTAGTTGAGTTTTTTTTCTTCGTTTTCCAGTACCTCTCTAATCGTGGTTCTTATAGAATTGGAGCGCTGGATGTACGTGTTGTAAGCCACCAGTAAGGTATGATGGCAGCAGCATGTTCTAGTCTCTAGTTTTCCTCATACTCTAACAATGTCAACTGAGTTTGCATGTACCTCGAGCGGCATTTTTGTTGATTTTTTTCTTGGCCTGCCTGATCAATTCTTTTGTATAAGATCCCCTCCAGTACGAGTCATCACATTAGATGCATTGCACCTGCCCGTGAATTTTTCTCAGAGTTTAGTTTGCAGTACCAACCACCGTCTTTCTCTTAATCCGCGTCTGCGTGTCGTGCTGCTCGTCCTGAATCTACAAATCTTTTTGTTTCAGGTTGAGAAGCCAGATTTCCCGAAAAGAATGTCTACTGTACACCTGTTTTTGCTGCTGCTGCTACTTCTTGTGCAGAGCCCGGTTCCCCTGCAGGCAGAGCACAAGATCTTCGACAGAGGAGCAGGGACTTCTTTCTCTTCTGCAACCGTAATAAACAGGTCCAGATGCAAGTGTGCATCACAATTGGATGCTGCCATCACGTGTGCAGACAATTCTCAGGAGAGAGCAGTAGCACCACTTCAGTAGAGCAGCAGCAGGAACCTCCAGAGCTGGCATCATTTCTTCAGTATGCCTCACCGACGCAGCAAGAGTGTCAAGTTTTAGCTCTGGAGGAGCAGCGGAATGACAACGCCGCAGTCGTTCCCAGAAGTCTGGAGTTTAATCAGCAGGCCCTCTTCTCTCCGTCGATAAAGTTTCTGACGATACTGAACACTGACAACAGCTCCTGGATCAAAATTCTTCAGGCTACCAGCACAGACAAGCAGTTTTTTATCCAAGCTCTTGACGAGAAAAGCGTCGTAGCTCCCGGCGAGAATCTGACAGTGGCAGTTGTGTTCTTGCCCCGGAAGACTGGAATAGCCAGCGGGAAGATCCTCTTCCAGACCAGTGCTGGAGGCCTCGAAACGCTGGTGATTGGCGAAGCTGTCGGAAATTCTCATCAGGCTACGAGCTTGGAAGATACTGAAGCAGTCCAAGGCAAGCTCATCCAGAGAACATTAAGTTTCTACAACCCGGACGAAGAGGCCATCGAAATTACGGAACTGCATGTCTGGCCTGGAGATTCTCACAAGAAAGCCCTCTGCTCGTCGGCAACTGATGAGTCGTCACCAACGGATAAAGTCTCCAGCTGCTTCGCAAATGGTTTCCCCTCGGCAATTCTCTCGAAAACAAGGACGAAAAGTATGCTTCGCACGGAATGCTAGTTTCACCGGAGAGGCTGGACGATCCGTGGATAACACGGTATTCTCCTGGAAATACGTTGCTCCATGACTACGCTCTCAATCCTAACGTGGAACTGTCAGGGACTTGCGAAAAAGAATCGTCAGTAGCTGCAGCATAAGTGACCAAGGCTGCAAAGCAGGACAATGAAGCAGGAAGTTGGGTACAAACCAACGATTTGATGGCACTTAGAATGGTGGAAGCACTCCTCAAGGTAACTCTGAAGCTAGCAGCTTAAAACTCAAATAAGCCAGCGGCCAACTTTGTACGTACGTTGTTGAGACAGCGAGATATCCGAAAAGCCGGGTTTGGCTGCAAATCAAAACGAGCCAACATTAATTCCTGGACAGGCGCTGTCATTCGAAATGGTGCAAATAGGAGTCAAGGAAAAGATGTGGATCAACATAGTCAATCCGACGCAAGAGCCCATACTCGTCAATCTCATACTTAACACGGAGGCCAAGTCCCGTAACTGTAAGTATAGAGCAAACTGGTTTTGGCAAGGCCACAAGCCAGAGGTGTACAGAGATAGCTAGGTATTTGCTTTCGACGCAGCCGCTGTGCAGTTTTATACAATTTTTTAATTAAAATTAAAATTTATTTCACCATCTTAAACATGTTTTCTTTATTTTTCATTTAAGTTTTCTAAAATTTAGTAATATTCTTTCTCGAATTTTATGAAACATTCACTGTATTTACCTTTTGAATTGCAATACAAATTGATAGTTTTGCTTGGTTATGAACTTCATAGGATTAAGAACTTTTAAAATCAGTCTAACCATCTGTAAATAATAACATCCACATTTGTCATGGAAAAAATTATTTTCCATTTAGAAATACTTAATAAGTTCTGGAATATATATATATATAGAGAGAGAGAGAGAGAGAGAGAGAGAGAGAGAGAGAGACACACACACACACATTTATAATCTTCCCTCTTAAAAAATGAAAAGCCTTAATTAGATATAGTAAGTCTGGCTGGTGGACATTTAGAACTTTACAGGCATTAGCATTAGCACCTTGTCATCAAAGGCACAAAATGATCATTATAATTCATCTTTGGCAGATAATAATACTTACATATTATTTAACTTTTTAATGATAACTTTTACATCATTTAAGTTTAAAATATCTATAAATTTAAGAGGCATTAAGTTAAGGTTTAATATATACAAAAATCAAAAGTGCAAAATGATCATTATAATTCACCTTTGGATTTGGCAGATAGTAATACTTATATATTATTTTCTATTTAATTTCAGAGGAACAAGACAATGACAAATTTGACATCATTTAAGCTTTATAATTTAAGTTGAATTATTGCTAACTCTCTCTAGTTATATTTCTGTCAATGCATTCTTGCATTCAAAACTCAGATAAATAGGATGAGCATTGGAGAGTTATTGTCTTTGTAATTATTATACATCTAGAGTTACATACACTTAAGCATGGATTAAGGATGAAGTTATTAGTTATTTTTATATTATGTGTCTTCTTAAAGATTGATTCTACCTATGAAAGATCTTTATCATCTATTTATCTCTCAGATAAGAATTTGATTTTTAAATATTATCCTCATAACAAGACCATAGGTAATAATAAAAGTCATAGTTTAGATGATTATGAATGGAAGTCTGATATGATTCAAGCATTAACAAAGTATAATACATATGGGAATATCCTCTTAGCATATGCATATAAAGATTTCAAAATCAGAAGTTTTGATTAAAATAATCTTTATAATGAATTTGGACTTTTCTTGCATGAATTCTTTTTTCTTGGTGTAACATTTAAAGGTTATGGAATATTTGAAACAAATTGTTGATATGGATGGCAAAATTGAGCATTTAATGGAAATTATATTAGAAATAATACATACCATGTTGAATTCTTTCCTATATAACTTTACATAAAATGTTAAGAAAAAAAAAGTTACCATTTAAAGCACTATAGACACTAAAACATATTTTCTAAAATTGAGTAGTATTATTTCTTAAACTTTATGGAAGATATTTTACTTGCATTTGCCTTTTGAGCTGCTGATAGTTTTTCCTGATTATTAACTTAATTTGATTAAGAAGTTACAAAATTTTAAATGATAATAGTCTATAAAGAAAATCAGAAGTTCTTGTTGGGATATAAGAATAGGTACATTAATAAGCTCTACTGATATAGAAGTATGGATCCTATCCAAATTGGATAGTACTTTGACATTCAGAACTTAAGAGTTATTAAGTTAAAATTTAATATAAACCAATAAAGTCGTTGGGCATTGGATCCAAGGCTTGAGCTAACCTCAGTAAACATGGTTGCAGGAAAAATCAAGCTGATATGAGAAGTGTCTAAGGGCTTTGTTCAACTTGAGCATGGGACTATATTTATATGATTGGTGAGATTGAGCGGGAATGTGGGTAGTCAGAGATCTTGTGGGCTTGGGAGCATTGATGGAGTGCACGAAATGCTATGTGAGGTAAGATCTCCCTATTCTTGATGTGATGAAAGAGCTCGTCCAGTTTGGGTCCAACGTCTTGTTCTCTGGCTGAGCTGAATGCTGTGATCCAGTAATCTTATCATCTCCATACAAAACAAGAGCAATTCCATATCAAACAGTCACAAAGTTTTCTACCTCCTGAGTGGGAGAAGAAAAAATTTTCAACTTTGGGAGATTCTCTTTTCCTACAGCTGGGCTGTCGCAGCTGTAATGCTTTTCTTCTCATGTTTGTCTGTCCAGGGTATGATTGATATGTGGTGGTGGTGCGTCTCGCGCTACATGGGAATCTTTGGAATGGGGAGCTGGATTATCATGCTCACACCAGGCACTGCTCGGTTTCCCACGTCATTCACTGCTGGAGATGGAGCTGTGTCTTCTTCTTCTCACCTTGGCAGTGACGGTGGCTGGCGGAACTTGGTTATCACCACCGCCACTGAGGTTCTGCTCTTTGAAATAAAGGCTAGACATCAGGCCTTGAAGCTGGGAAAGAAAATTGCAAACAAGATTTCACATTTGGACTCTAAAGTCTTCTATGAGTGTCGAGCTTTTTTTATTTCAAGTGTTTAAAGAATGTACACTATCATTGTTAAACTCTGTCCCAAAAAACTTCTGTTCTATAGCTTGAAAGCCTCTTTCCACTACAATAGTTAGTGTCTGGAGTGAGCTATGGACCCAAAGAAATGACATAGGGTAGTGCCATGCCCAAATGCTGTCCAAGCCAGGTTCTTTCTTCTCTGTCCGGAAATAATTTGCCCGTGCTCTCTCTCAGATAATATGGGTTTGATTAATAATTTTATTAAGTGTTAGTATAGTTTACTGTCAAAAAATTAAATCTGATAATGCATACACCATTTATATACACACCATTTGCATCATGACAGAAGTTTTTGCACAGCCCAGCATTTGCTGGGCGTGCTAATGATCATTATAATTCACCTTTGGGTTTAGCAGACAATAATACTTACATATTATTTTCTGTTTTAATTTGGAGGAACAGGACAATAACAAGATTTACATAGTTTAAGTTTAAAATCTATAAACTTAGGAGGCATTAAATTAAGGTTTACTATAAAAAACAAGCATTTCGTTGTTATAGGATCATTATAATTCATCTTTGGAATTGGCAAACAATAATACTTACATATTATTTTCTATTTTAATTTGGCGAAACAAGAAAATGACAACTTTGACATTTTTCAATATTTAGGTTGAATTATTGCTAACTCTCTCTAGCTTATCAATGCATCCTTGCATAGGATAAATAGGATGAGCATTAGAGAGTGATAGTGTTTATGATTAAACATCTAGAGTGATACACTTGAAACAGATTAAGAATGAAGTTATTAGTTATTTTTATATTATGTATCTTTTTAAGAATTAATTTTACCTACCAAAGATCTTTATCATCTATTTATCTCTCAGATAAGAATTTTTTTAAAAATATGATCTTCCTAAAAAGATAATAAGTAATAATAAAAATCAGAGTTTAGATGATTATGACTGGAAGTCTGATATGATTCAAGCATTAACAAAGTATAATACATATGGGAATATCGTATTATCACAGGCATATAACAATTTCAAAATCAGAAGTTTTGATAAAAATAAACTTTATAATGAGTTTGAACTTTTCTTACATGATATTTTTTTTGTTGGTGTAACATTTAAGGGTAGTGGTATATTTGAAACAAGTGGTTGGTATGGATGGCAAAATTGGGCATTTATGGGAAATTATATTAGAAATAATACATATCATGTTGAATTCTTTTCTTTATAACTTAATATAGATTTTAAAAATATATTTAATATATTTTATTTTAAAACATTAAACAACTTAGAATTTTAAAATATATTTTCTTTTATGTTTTATGAGTGCTCAAGATATGAGAATAAATATATTGATTGAGACAAATTATATACAAGAATAGATAAACCAGATTCAATCTCAATTGCACAATTCATATATATGAAGATCCCAATTCATATGCTGCACTATTATAATTAGTGTATTTACCTTTTGATGTTAATATATATATATATATATATATATATATAAGTTTTCTATAAATCCGACACTAAACACAGCAGGTACGGAAGTGCTTGGCTCGACGTTATTACCCGTTCTCCAAAATCTCTCGCAAGTGAAGAAGCTACATAGCAAAGTTTCACAATGGTCTCTCCACAGGCATGTGATGATCTCGAGTTTCTTCTTGTCATTGCTCTCTTCAAATTTAGAAATCACTGCCGGAAGCACGCTGGTGCTCCAAGTTTACTGTCCGCGATCGCGAGAACTCGATAGTGCTTACCCATGCCCTGGATTTTGTAGCCGTCGTCTCCCTCGGACAGCCATGGAGGAGGTCCTTCTCCAACCAGTCTCCAGTATCCCAACTGGAGTTTCTCGCCCTGCTCATCGCTAGCATCTTTGACGAGAGCTTCCAGCCGGACGTTTATCCCGAGCATTGCAAGGAACTCCTGCTGGAAAATTGGGCCATAAGTTGATACCGTGGCTGCAAAAAGAGTTGAAGGCATTAGAAAGTCTAGAAAAGCTTGCAAGGACTTACGGCTTGCTGTTTCAGCGACCATCCTTTTGATGGCTGCAAAGTCGACATGAGCACTGAGGTCTGCTGTTCCTGGCTTATCCAAAACATTGACGAACTCGTGATTCCTTATGGCCTGAGTTTTACTCGAGGTAAGCAACTGGAGAGCTCTACAAAATAAAGGGAACAAACAAACCTGGAAACTGTCCGTAACAGGCTCGTCTTTGCCATAGTCGATGATAATCCCACCACCCGAGTCTTCGGCTACGCGCTTCGCGATTTCCTGGCTTACTTGCAGCGCTTTCGGACACACTTCTATGTGATGTATACTTTCTTCCTCCACGGCAGTAATCCAGTTAAGCCGCTTTTTAAGATACAGTAGAGTGGCTGCAGTAGGCTGCGAAGACAAAACAAACCGGAATGCTCCACTGGAAACAAAACATTTGTTAAAATAGAACATTCAAGTGAAGGAAAACGATTCGCTTGCCTGGAATCCACATCAATGAGCTTCTCACACCAGCCAACAGGCGTTTTCTGTGAAAGTCGATGCTCAGAAAAACTATATCGGTGCAGTTCCGTGCCTGACTCACCTGGAACTGGTGTATTGGTAGAGCATCAAAAAATTCCTGCGCAATTATAATGGTCGGAACTGCATCCACCGATGAAGCATATTTGAAACAACGAAAGAAAACAGAACAAAAGGAAACTAACCTCCTCGAGGAACGTCCTTTAGATCCAAATACCACGACACATTGGTTTCAAATCTCTGGCTTCGGCTGTTCTCAACAGCCGGTCGATCGCCACCCTCATGTTTCTTTTCCTCGCCGGGGCATTGCAATGCTCTCCGCTGCTGCTTACGAAGGGCTGGGCTGCATTCGACAAAGTGGATTGATAACGCCTTGGAGAAGTCTTTAAATGTAAGAGTGCTCTGCGGCAAGCACACGAAAAGAAAAAAAATTAGAAACAAAATGTGGACCTTAAAGAAGTAAGCTAGTACCCGTAACAAGTCCTGCATGAGCGTACCTCGACCCGGTCCTAGTTCTACAAGTTGGAGTTTCCTGGGCTTTCCCATTTTCTCCCAAAGACTCACGCTCCAGATTCCAATCATCTAGACGAGAAAAACTTGGCTTTGATCACCGTGCAAGGCAAAGAAAATCTTTCCAATACCTCGCCAAACATCTGGCTCACGTCTGGTGATGTGATAAAACTTCCAGCCGCTCCAAAGACTTCCTGGTGTAAGTAGTAGCCGGCGGAAGGATTTGTAAGAACCTCCTCCATATACTCGGCCACAGTGATCGGTCCTCCACGAAACTAGCAAGCCAAAATCATGAAAGAAGAAAACAAAAAGGAAACATATGAAAGTGAATAGAAGAACTCACCGTAATTATCGATTTCAGCTGCTTCTCCATGTCAGTCTCGGCGATTTGCGGCGATTGATAATCTGGAATCCACATCGATCCCACATTTTTGGAGAAACAAGATCATACCTTCAGGGACGTGCAATCCACTGCGATCGATTGAGAGCGACGGTATTGCCGTGCTCTCCGCCGTGGCGCTTGATTCATTAGCGCTTGATTCCTTGACTACGGAGAAGAAGCGAGCGGCAGCGAGGGCGAGGCGACGGCGAATATTACAGCGCATCGCCAGCGCCATAGCCATAAACCCTAAAACCCAGAGCCGTCGGATCGGCACTAACGGTCACAGCAACGAGCAGCTACGATGTGAGAGCGCGAATGCATCGTCGGATCTTTAGGGCAAAAGAGCCAAGAATCCTGGCTCCCTTTTCGCAGCGATCGATCGTCTCCGACAATGCGCCAGGTATGCTGCGCTCGCGATACGCGAGCACATCGAGAATTCCCTGGCGCCATTGCGCAGTGATGATCGCGTCACGGAGCGGGCTCGTCCCGAAATGAGGTATCTTTTGATTTTCTAGAATCGAAATTTTGCTTAGATCGCTCATGAGAACGCTGCGCTTCCAGAAAGCAAACGCTCGATCTGGCACAACAAGCTCAAGTCGCGGCTTGTTTGTACCTCGGATTCGATCCACACGAGATAAAATACAACCAGCATGTTTGGCAAAAGGTAAGCTTTATTCTTTCTTTTGTGTCATTCTCAATCACTTTCTTTTTGTGATTAGAATCTTGAAGCTCAGTACTCCAGACCACTGGAGCTCCATTTACATCACCACCACCACCACTACATGGACAAGCCAGGCTCCAGAAACTTAGCAGACATAGACAAGAGCTCGAAAAAAAGTGAGGCACTTCTGGATGCTCCAAAGGCAGAGTTCTTTGTAGAGGAGAATAGCTGCCATCAGGAGATGATCTTAAGAAGGGATATGGAATCTCTTGCTTACGCGGATACGAACTATAACACCGGCACCTTGGGGTACGTGCCGCCTAGCAGAGGGAACCCGGTTCTACTACAGGAGTGGGACGTAAATTCTGGCACAGAGACCGACTATGGAAGTCACTACTACATGTCGTCGTCCAAGACCGAGCGAGTAGCGACGAGTGTCAAGCGGAAGAAACACTCTAGCGAACAGCAGAATCCGACGATAGGTTCACGTCCGGATTGGAGCTGTGAATCCAGAGTAGACACCTGCTCGCGCTCAGACTATGACGAACCCAGCATTCCGGAGCACAACTTTAGAAACAGCCCTTCACCGGTATGTTTTCTAGGTTTACTTTATTGTTGATTCTGATTTAATCTTTGAGTTGGACAGACTTGCAGAATAAACCACGAGCAACTTGGTGCTGGTCAGTTCGTGATGAGACGGTCGATTCCAAGAGCAGAACTAGCAATCAGTCGGATGAATGTTCGGGAGAACAATCTCTTTGTCGAGGACAACGCAAGGCTTGAACACCTCCCTCAGGTTTCTAAAGTTTTCCTGTTGTCATTTTACGCTAGTTCTGAGTTTTGTTGTCCATTCTTAGGCTTTAGAGGCACAACCGCGGGTTCATAGCGTTAATCTTAATGAAGAGGAAACAAAAAAGGAAACTTTGAGACTTCAACAGTTGCTGGCACATGAAAAGATGAAAGGGGACGCGTACCGGAATCAGCTGCTAAGTGTTCAAAAAAAGTACAGAGCACTTTCCGAGGAAATGCAGGAAGAAAAACATGAAACACCGCGTTCAACAACGAAAGAAGAGAAGAATCATGTTCATGATCGACCTGAGGTACTAAGTATGACAAGAAAGTCAAAATTTAATCTATGTTATTTTACAGACGCCCTCAGGCGACGATACTCCTAGGAGCTGTGATTCCCGAAAAAGCTCCGGCAAGGTACAAGTGAAAGCTCTCTGCTATTTTCTAACAAAGTGTGTGGATTTCAGGCCTTCGAAAATGTATCAAAAGGCTCTGAGAGTCTTGAAAGTAAGACGGTCATGGAAGGCCGTTCTAATGATGCTGAAAACGATCTCAATGATCTCTTACGAAATTTCAGCAAGCTTCTGGACAAGAAGTTGAAAGAGGAGATGTTCGTAAAAGTTACCAAAGCAATTGAGTCTGTTCTCGACAACGGTTGCTCAACAGAACAGAGCGGAAACAAAACGGGACTCGTCAATAAACCGGAGGTTAGAAAGCCGACTCCGGAAACAAAAAATGACTTGGCCTTCCAATCTTGTGGCTACGAGAGGCCAGCTAGTTGCGACGATCAACCAGAACAAAAATCGAAAAGAAACAATTCGTCCTGTGCTCCCAATGGTTATTCCAACGTTTATTTATCTCCTGTTTATGAAGAACAAAGACATTACAGCGATCATGACCGATATAGAACAAGTTCAAGCCATAAGGATGCAGACAAGGATTATTCACTCGAGAAACCGGATCATCGTAACTTGGAGAAATCCTTTGTGGCAGGAGAACAAGGTGACATCTGCTCTTTTTTAGCCATCTCGTTTTTCTACACTGTTTCAAATCAGGTGAACTGCGCGACCTCGAAACAGCTGTGCAGAATCTTAGCGTGGTTTGTCAAGAGCATAAAGAAAAGCTTGAAAATCTCAGTTTTGGCGACTGTGACAAAGAACAGCATGACGTGAAACATCTGCGAGAGCACTACGTGACGATTTTGAAGCAAATAGGAAATCATGTCAATGACTTAAACTGTGACATTGAAGAGGTCTGAAGTTATTCCTGCGTGTTTCCGGTTTCTTATTCTGTTTTTTCACTTTTCACAGGAAAAACAGGATGCGACTAACAGACACAACGCAGGGAACGAGTTCAAGGTTTCAGAGCTTTCTGAAGAAGTCAAGGCAAAAGAAAAAGCTCTCCACCACGCCGAGGAAGTAAACCAGCAGCTAGCGAGTGAAATGTCCAAAACCGAGACGGCACTTTCGCTACTTCGACTTCACTGCACTGATCTGAAGACATCGCTGGAGGCCGAGGTGGAAGAAAGCAAAGGCGACGTGAGTTTCATGCTTTTCGATAAGCTTGTTCTCACACCTCTTTTTTGCCTGACAGATACAATTGTTAGAGAAAACGATAATGCAATTGAAAGAAGACTTGACAAAGAGCGTATGCAAAGGGGCGACTCTGGCAGAAGACTTGAAAAAGAGCGAGTCAAAAGTAGCGGTGCTGGAAGACGCTGTGAGCGGCAAAGACTCGGAAGTTCAAGAGGTAAAAAAGAAAATGTGTGGGATACAGAAGGAAGCGGATGAAGCTCTGCTTGAAAAGTACGAGCTTGTCAAGCGGGTGCACGAATTCAAGCGAGACGCGAATGATCAAAAGCAACGGATAGACGAGCTAGTCGGGATCAACGACGAGCTTTTAGTCTTTGCTCAAGGGAAAGAAGCAGAGGTGCCTTTGTATGATCCAAGCTCTAAAGTGAGTTTTCGTTTTACAGGTCGCGTCAAACTCTGCGCAAATCAAAGCTCTCCAAGAAGAAAACGGGAGGCTGGCAGCAGCAGTCACGCAGGCCACCGAGAAACTTAAAGAGAAGGACGATCTTAACTTAGAATCCGATCCCCTGCGTACAAAGCTAGCAGACACCGAGTACGAGCTCTCAAGATTGAGCTCGCAGCTCTCGTCCACCATTGAAATCCAGGACAAGAACGCTGAGGAAGCCGAGCAGCTACGAGCAAAGCTCAGAACCTCCGAGCTCGAGGCCGCCAAGAAAGACGACGAGATCCACCAGTTGAGGGTGGTCGTCCACGATCTCCGGATCAAGCTGACGAAGATGGAGGCGCAGGAAATCGAGGACGATCTGAGACTGCTCGAGGGGCTCGACACCAAAGCTGGACGAGGAACCAAGAGTTGCGACGATGTTTTCAGCATGCTCCAGAGCTCCGGGGACATGAGGTGGAAGGTCCAGCAGCTGGAAGAAGAGATCCTCGAGAAAGACGGCCAGATCGCCATCCTGAGGAGCTCTTTTCCGGAAGAATACGACTCCATCTTCTAGAAAGACGAAAAGAAACGCGAAGTGTACATCAGCTTTCCTGTACAGTGAAGTTAACATACTAGAGAACATGAAAGTGAGAAATTCTACCTCGTCTTAGTCGAACGAGTCGAGCCAAGCGTCGAAATCTTCTTCCAAAGCTGGTGGTGTCACCCCACGCTTTTCCGTCTCCAAAGATGATACGCTGGTGGAGGGATCGGGCTTCGCATGCTCGGGAGGAGACCACAGCAAAGTCTCGAGATCTTTCTGCGACATGAAAGTGGAGCTTTGCTCATCCCCATCCAGCTGAAACTCTAGGCCACCACCACTGACTTTGCCAAGCTTGACACCATCTTCTTTATCTTCTATGGCGACGTTGTCCAGCAAGTCGAGCAGCGCATCCAGTTCGGCCTCTCTTTCATCTCGTTGCGGGACAAAAGATTGCTCTGTGACCGTGTCTTTGAACGACAAGGCTCTGCCGTTCTCGGGATCTTGCAATGCGGTGTCGAGCCATTTCTTGACGTCCTCGACCTCAGTTCTCGTACCTTCTACGTTCTCCCGTTGAAAATCCATTGTCCGAGAATCGACTTTGTCAATCCGCGAAGAAGTAGCTCCCTGTTCTTGAACGTCACCACCGTCTCTAGGACTCGTGTCCTCTTCGTCCGAGACGAGCTACAAGAATGGCGGTCAGATCAAACACTAAGAAAAAGAAAAGAAGCAAAGAACTAGCGTACCAGCTCGGAAGGCAGCGTCTCATCGTCGAGAAAGAGCCTTTTTTTCAAGCTCACTTTGGCAAGGCGCTGGCCAAGGAGCTCTAAATCCAAAGAAAGAAACGGAGCCTGGAAGAGCAATGGTCTCTTCAATCAAACTAGAAAGGAAAAGAATACCGTGCTGGTTTCCGGATCGTCGAACGCGTAGAGGTCCGCGAATGCGTCCTCGAAAGGATCCAATCCACGAGAAAACACTGGAAAGAAACACAACCCAGTCTTGCAGCGAGCTACAAAGAAATATTTTCTTTGCTACCTCCTGAGAAGTCTCCAGTGCCGATCACTGGATCCTGTGCTAGAAGCTCCGCGTAATCCAGCCCCTGGCTCCTAGATTTCGTCCCTTGCTCGTCGTCATCGACGATTCCTTCCAGCGGAAGAACATCCTCGTACCCAACCCAGGCGCTCGGACTCACCAGAGGCTGCGATTCGCCGGGAACGCTGCGATGGCCCCTCGAGAATCGGCGTCGCCCCCGCCGAGAGCTCGCATGCTTGGCTCTCGCCATTGTCTTGTCCATCGCTAGAACCCTAAAAAAAATATCTTTGCATATTCCTTCTTGGAAGATCAAGTTTGTTCTCTTCGTCGCAAAGCGGCGATGGCCGCCACTGCCGCCGCTGCGTCTAGCGCCACATTCGCGCTGGGACGATCTTCTTCTGGCGTCTCGCAGCTTCGTCCAGCTCGGGGAAGTTCTCCCTTGCTCATCGCCGGCAAGAGGTTGTGTTCTTCCGTGTAATATTTCCCTCTCTCACGCTCAATCGCAGGAAATCGGCAAGAATTTCGGCAACATTGCTGACAGAGAAGCCAAATTCGCCAGCGCCAGCATCGCAGGAGCCAGAATCTTTGCCAGGGAATGAAGAACAACAGGAAGAAGCTCGATTGGCGAGCAGCTCGAGCTCATCTAGCTCCGACAAGCCCGAGTCGTGGATCATTCGGGTGGAGCAAGGTTTCAATCTGTTCGCTACGGTACTAAAACTCCTCCGATGTCCCGATTTATTTTCTTCTAGTGATCGATCGTTCCTTTTCTTCAGGATTTTGTAATAGCAATCTTAGATCGACTGTATGCTGACCGGGACTACGCAAGATTTTACGTTCTCGAAACAATCGCAAGAGTTCCTTACTTCGGTATTTTATTTTTTCGTGGCTTTTTTCCCTCTCTTTCTGATGATAAGTTTCCTAGCTTTTGTGTCTGTTCTTCACATGTATGAGAGTTTCGGGTGGTGGAGACGAGCAGACTATCTCAAAGTACATTTCGCTGAGAGCTGGAATGAGCTCCATCACTTACTCGTCATGGAGGTAAGATCTTTTCTCGCGTTTTAGTTTTGCTTAAAATCACCATTCTTTCTTTGAGATTCATCCAGGCTTTGGGTGGAGATGAGCGATGGTTTGATCGCTTCCTCGCTCAACACATCGCCGTAGCTTACTACTTCCTCACTTCGCTTATGTACACCATCAGTCCACGCATGGCATGTAAGAATCTAGACGTGAATTTTTAGCTAGAACTGACTTGCATGGCAGATCACTTCTCCGAATGCGTGGAGAAACACGCGTTCTCAACTTACGACAAGTTCATCAAGGCCCATGGAGGTACTGTCAAGAAAAACTTCACAGTTTTCCAAAATAATCCCAATGCTGTCTTTCGTTTGCGCAGAGGAGCTAAAGAAGCTTCCCGCTCCACAGGTTGCCGTGGATTACTACACGAAAGGCGACCTTTACATGTTTGGTAAGTAGACAAAGTCTCAAAACTGTCCAGGTCTCTAAAAATCGCGTCCTGTTCCCAGACGAGTTCCAAACAGACAGGCTTCCTGAAACACGACGGCCAAGAGTCGGTACTTATCAAGTCTACCACTTTGGTTTTTCTATCGCTAATCACCGCGGAAAATCCTTATCCAGATAATCTCTATGACGTGTTTGTCAACATCCGAGAAGACGAATGGGAGCACTGCAAGACGATGAAGGCCTGCCAAGTTCGCGGCAACCTCCATTCCCCTCACTCCACAAAGCTCAAAGATCTTCCAGACGAAGCACAAGATGAAAAGGAAGATGAAGAAGACGAAGAAGAAGTGGCCGAATGCGCGGGCATAGTGGAGTGCGCGATTACAGCAACATCACACGCGGAGCGAGTACGCAAGAAGAGCACGGCATTGCTCAAGCAATGAGTGCTTATACGATCACTAAAGGTAAGGGCTTTGTTTGCTTCACTGATTTGATTTCTATTGATCGTCTTCTTTCTGTTTCGCAGCGATCATCGGAAGTATATAGATCGAAAGATTGATAACTTCAATCCGCCAGCAGGCCTCTGTAAAAGATAGGCCTCTGTAAAAGATAACGCACCTTCTTCTTTTCTTGGTGTTCTTCAGGTTGGTTCGTCCATTTGGCTTTTATAAAACATATGGTATGCTTCGATCACTTCGAAGCTCCAGAAGGACTCGGCGTTGGGCGAGGAGGAGAGATCCACGAGCTTGTGAACCTGGAAGACAAAGTTTAGATCGATATCGATCGAGAGAGAGATGATCAAAACGATTCGAGAAAACTCAAGGAGATAGATCACATTACCTCCGAGAGAGAGAGAGAGAGAGAGAGAGAGAGAGAGAGAACTTACCGTGATCTTCTTCTCTGCTGGATTGTAAGCCCCGGCTATGAGCATGTACATGCCTGGTAAAAAAAATCCAAGTAAAACTCCAAGAGCACGTAGAACAAGCTCACCAGGTTTTGACGAGCGCTTATCCTCGGCATCCGGGAAATGTAGCTCCACAATCGCGCTGCCATCGTCGAGAGCCAAGGAATTTCCTCTCCAATCTACGATCACGCCCTGGAAATCGATTCTAGCATCGCGATTCATCCATGGGGAACTACCTGGATCCAGACACGCTGAAATCGAAGAGCTCCAATGGTGGTGATGGGAGATCTTGCCGCGCTAGCGCCCGTGCTCGCCCTTGCGAGATCGCTGACCAAGAGCTTTGGCGCCGCGAGGCTATAATCCATTGGCCCATAAACCCTAGCCTAGAACTTCTAGAGCTTCTTGGGCGGGAGTGGCACTTCCTCGATTCGATCGATTACCGCGGGGCTGGAATCCGCGCTCTCTAGCTTCGCCAGGCATCGCGTTGCTCGATCCGCCCGGCGAGCATCGCCGTGAGCTCTACTCGCGGCCAGCAGCGTCGACCACGCCACTCCGCGCGGCTCGAATGGCATGGAATCGATGAGCTCCTCGGCCTCGCCAGTGCGCCCGGATCGGCCCAGCGCATCGATCATGCAGCAGTAGTGCTCCTCCTGGCGGCGCAATCGCCGATCCTCGCCCATGGCCGCGAAGTAGATCCGCGCGTCTTCCACGAGACCCGCCCGAGCGCACGCCATGAGCACGCCCACCATCGTCGTCTCGTCCGCGCGAAATCCCTCCAGCTCCATCGCCCGGAAGAGCTCCAGCGCCCACAGCCCCTCGCCGCTGTGCGCGCTGCCCTTGATCATCGCGTTCCACGACACGATGTCGCGATGATGCATCGCCTCGAAAAGCGTCCTGGCCGGAATCAAACGGCCCCTGCTCGCGTACGCCGAGATCATCGTGTTGATCGTCGCGACGTTGCGATCCCTCGAGCGATTGAAGAACGCTTCTCCCTCGTCAAGATGCCCGTTCTGGGCAAATGCATGAAGGAGAGCGTTGGACGCGACGATGTCGTGCACAGGCATGCGATTGAACGCTTCAGATGCGTCCCTCGCGTAGCCGGCCTGCCCGTACGCCGCGATCAGGGCCGTCCACGTGGCAACGTCCCGGCTTGGCATCGTCACAAACACCTCGTGAATCTCGTCAAGATGCCCAAAAAGGGCATATGCCGAAAGCACGGTATTATACGATACTAGATCCCTCTTTGGCATTAGCTCGAATATCCGCTTTGCTTCCTGGATGTGCCAAGAAGTGCTACACGCAAGGATTAATCCATTCCACGTAAATACGTCCCTTGTTTTCATGGTATCAAGTGTTTTTTCGACAGATGCAAGATTCCCTGATTGGGCATATGCGGATATTATAATGTTTCCAGTGAAAATATCGGGTTCTGGAATCTCACCGTACAAGCACTCCATCGCGAAAAGATCCGAGTCCGCCGAATATGCCGCCAAAATGGCGTTCCACGTGACCACATTCCTGTACGGCATTCTATCAAACACGCACCTAGCTTGGGCAAGATGCCCTGAACGAGAATATCCAGATACCATGGCCGTCCAGGCGACCACATTGCGAACCTCCATGGCGTCGAATATCCGCTGGGCTTGAAGCATATGCCCGTTGCGGGCATATGCGTCGAGCATGATGGTCGCGGAGTAAAGATTCGGCTGAAAGATCCGATCAAACGCCTCGCGGGCGAGATCAAGCTCGGCGCACTTGCCGTACATCTCCACGGTGAGATTGGCGAGGAATGTGTTGTGGGCGTGCTCGGATCTTGTGATGTCTGCGTGGATTTCTCTCGCTCGGGTCGAGTCGCGACACGATCGGAGCATCTGGGTGTAAGCGGTGACCTCTTCGATCGATCGTAGCTTCTTTTCTGCCTCCTCGAGCTCTAGCTGGTACGGACTTCCCGGGAGGAACATCGCCTTGGACTTGGCACGCCTGATTGCGTGCATTCTCTGCTCGAGAAAGATGGTCTACCGTACACCAGTGTTCTCGTGTTCTGGACAGCTTTGTCTAGCATGAATGTGTCAACTTGCATCCAGCTGGTGAAGTCTTGCGGGAATGCGCGAAATCCCGTCCTGGCCAAACAGATCCACGACCAAATCCGAGGAACGCATCACGAGAATGATCGTCTCGTTGCAAATCTCTTGGTGGAGATGTACGGAAAGTGCGGCCAAATGCGAGAGGCAAAAGCCGCTTTTGAGAGCATTAAAGAACCAAATGTTTTCTCGACAACTATTTTGCTTACTGCATATGCCCAAAACGGGCATATTGTTTCTGCAAAGTCCTTTTTTGATCAAATGAGCGAAAGAAATATATACTCTTGGACCACACTAATCACATTTTTTGAATCATACAAGGATTTAGAATCGGCTCTAGATACGTTTACTAGAATGCCTGCCTGGAACAGTGCCACTTGGAATTCTATCGTATCAGCACATACCCAAGCTGGGCATATGCTTGATTTCATGGATTTTGAAAAATTCAATTCCGAAATTACCTGCAATGCTTTGATTTGGGTGTTTTTGCAGAATGGCAACCTGGACAAGGCTCGAGATCTATTTGAGAGTGCGTCCCATCGAGATATAGTTTCATGGAACACACTTTTGCAAGGCTACGTGGATTGGGAGCTCGTTGAGGAAGCAGCAAACTTGTTTGAGAGAATGCCAGCACACAATGCAGTGAGTTGCACGTCCGTGATTTCTGGATTTTCTCTTGTCGGTGATTTTGATCGGGGTCAAAGCGTCATCTCGTCAATTCTCCAATGGGACGTTGTTGCTGTCAATGCGATGCTCCAGTTTCTCGCAGAGTTTGGTCTGATCCAAGAAGCGTTTGGGGTATTCGAAAAATCGCCAGCACACTCAGTGGTGACGTGGACATCCATTGTTACGGCATATGCCCGCTCTGGGTATCTTGAAAAAGCGAGGTTTCTCTTTGAAAAGATGCCAGAGAGGAATTGCGTGACGTGGAATACCCTGCTGATGTCATATGCCCACGCTGGGCGTGTCGACGTGGCAGAGAAGATTCTTGGGTATTTTCCCCAGCACAGCACCATGGCCTGGAACTCCATGCTCAAAGCTTACAGAGATGCGATGAATCTAACAACAGCAAAAGACCTCTTTGACAAAATGCCATATCGCAGCACACACTCGTGGAATGTTATTCTTGATGCATATGCCAGGACCAAGAATCTCGAGGAATCTTTCAGTGTCTTTACAAGTATGCCTCAGCACGATGAGTTCTCCTGGTCGATCTTGATCTTGCTTGTGGGTGATTCTGGAAATGTAGGTCAAGCAATCAATCTTTTCAACAAAATGCCATATCAAAACGTACTGTGCTGCAATGCCGTCTTACAAGTATATGCCCAAACCGGGAATATGCTCCAGATATCTCGATTCCTTTGCCAGTCGAACCTCCTTGGAATCAGGCCGAACCAGACCACATTTGCTTCGGTCCTTGCCGGGATTAGCTATGTCGGTGGCCTGGAGGATGCCCGAAGCTGTTTTGGCAGTATGGTCTGGGACCATGGCATCCCAGCTTCGGCAATGCACTTTTGCTGCGTGGTTGACGTGCTGGGACGGGCTGGTCAGATTAAAGATGCCATGGATCTGGTGGAGAGCCTTCCGTACAATCCCATGGAAGTGGAATGGACGGCATTGCTTGGAGCTTCCAAGACGCAAGGGGATATTCGCACTGGTGCATTGGTGGCATCTAGAGTGACCGAGTTTGATTCCCATAACTCGGCCGCATATTCTCTGCTTAGTAACGTTTGCTCCTTTGCCAGCGAAATAGAGGTTCCTTGACATGGTAGCAATTGCCTTTTCTGGGCATCTACCGTTAGATTCGAACGGCTTGGATGCAATGGAAATGTTGTTTTTTACAGTATTCGAACTGGCGACCTTGTCAGTTAATGTTTTAGCTGCCAGGTATCGAACGCTAGGTTGATCGCTGTTACGCGGCTATGGCGTCCAAGAGCATTGCTTGGCGCCGCGAGTAGCGTTGCCGCGGCAGGCGATATTTCTCGCACCGATGTAGCTTGGATTGACGCAAGATTCTTCCCTCGGTGAGATTCCGGCGCTTGGAGCTGCAATGGCGGGGCGGGGGCTTCGGATGAACAGAGTCAAGCCTCTGGCCTACCGAGCGATCGTTCCAACAATGCTGGTGGTTCTCTTCATCACAACCGGGGCGCTGATCTACGGCGAGACCCCGGCATCGTATGCGGTGAGTGATCCTGTCGTTTTCTTGCAAAATCTGGGGAGCGCGCTCAAATCTGTGGTGGAATCCAGGTGAGCGCCGAGGCGAGCGATGCCTACCCCAGCCATTTGCGATTCTACATGAAGCGCACGATCTTGGCGCTCAGATCGAGACAAGATCCACTCCGGGCGAGGGCGGAGAGTCTTGTCAAGCAAGCGAAGGATCAGCTGGCGGTGGTGAATGCCTACGCCGCGTACGCGAGGCGAGGCAAGCTTGATGTGGCGAGACAGGTGAGAATCTTCACGGATCAGGCCAGGAACTACACGGAGTTACTGGCGAGGCCAGAGAACCGGGGTTTGATAGATAGCAATGGCGGCGCAGTGGATCCGGAAGCTCTCAGGGCCTTCGAGAGGGATTTGAGGGAGAGATTGCGGGTGACGCGGCAACTCATGATGGATTCCAAGGAGCTCTTTGACAACCAGCTCAAGATCCAGAAGCTTAAGGACACCATCTTCCAGGTGAACGAGCAGCTCACGAGAGCCAAGAAGCAGGGAGCTTTCGCGAGCCTCATTGCTGCCAAGTCAGTGCCCAAGAGCTTGCATTGCCTGACGATGAGGCTCATGGAGGAGAGAGTTTCACATCCGGAGCGCTACGTTGATGGTCCGGAGCCTGCCCCCGAGCTGGAAGATCCATCGCTGTTCCACTATGCGATCTTTTCGGACAACGTGATCGCGGCGTCGGTGGTGGTGAACTCAGCCGTGAAGCATGCTCGAGAGCCCGAGAAGCACGTATTTCACGTGGTGACGGATAAGATGAACTTGGGAGCCATGAAAGTGTGGTTTACGATGAGAAAGCCGGAGAAAGCTCACATCGAAGTGAAGGCCGTGGAGGACTACAAGTTTCTCAACTCGTCCTACGTACCGGTGCTCAAGCAGCTCGAGTCGGCCAACTTGCAGCGCTTCTACTTTGAGAACAAGATGGAGAACGCGACCAAGGACGCGACCAATATGAAGTTTCGCAACCCGAAGTATCTGTCGATGCTCAACCATCTCCGCTTCTACTTGCCGGAGATGTATCCCAAGCTGGACAGGATACTCTTCCTCGACGACGACGTGGTGGTGCAGAAGGATCTGACAGGGCTGTGGGAGATCGACATGGACGGGAAGGTGAATGGAGCGGTGGAGACGTGCTTTGGTTCCTTCCACAGATATGACAAGTACATGAACTTCTCGCACCCTCTCATCGCGTCCCGATTCAATCCCAAGGCTTGTGGCTGGGCATACGGGATGAATTTCTTCGACTTGAATGCTTGGAGGCGAGAGAAGTGCACCGAAGAGTATCATTACTGGCAATCCAAGGTAAAAAAAAAAATATCGTTGAATGTACCCAGCTTGTTCTTTGCAGAATGAGAACCGCAGTCTTTGGAAGCTTGGAACCCTGCCGCCGGGGCTCATCACCTTCTACAAGACGACCAAGCCTCTGGACAAATCGTGGCACGTCCTGGGCCTGGGATACAACCCGAGCATCAGCTTGGAGAAGATCAGGAGCGCAGCGGTGATTCACTTCAACGGGAATATGAAGCCGTGGCTGGATCTAGCCATGAACCAGTACCGGGAGTTTTGGACGAGGTACGTGGATTACGACATGGAATTAGTTCAGATGTGCAACTTTGGACACTGAAGAAGCAGCAGTGAGCTCTTCAGCTGTCTTATCGACCATGCGGCGTTTCTATGTAGCTAAGTATGCTAACACTTCACACCATTTTTTGAGGCGTATAAAGATGATATCTGTGAATCGTGTCGGCTTATATATGTATATTGTGTTTCTCCAGTTTTCTTTGTCCAGGAAACAATCTCTTGACTTCTCGAGCCTTCGCGCACTAGTGAAGGTACGTCCATTGATTTTACGTTTGATCTTTGCTTGACGTATTTCTTTTTCGCAGAAGGAAATGGAAGAATTGGAATTCCTGTGGATCCAATTGCTTCACGTTTGCGGCAAGTGGAACAAAGTGGAAAAACTCGACCACCAGAGGTCTAGCCTTAGATTAGCTTTATAATTGTCGGATTCAGGAAAGCCTTTAACGTAGTTTGGGATGGCGATGAAGCTGCTCTGGGAGGTGGAGTTCTGGCATTGGTAAGGTGATATTAAGTTGAGAAGCACCGGGTCTAAGCTGGTTTTGTGGAATCCACAGGTATGGGCCTAGCGATGCTTGTCCAAGTTCGAAAGTTCTAGAGTTTTGTTTTTCGAGTCAAGATGTTGACGATGAAGAATCAAGGTCGGTTTTGGTTGTTGCTTTCGAGTCTTGTTAGCTACCGAAATTCTCATTTCTTTGTTTTTTGTTTGCTGTGTGTTGTAGGACATTTTTTAATCTTCTTCGATGCTCAAGCGTGGGTTTGGTGATCAGGACAGGACTGATTGGTGCATAAAATATTCTCTTTGGTTTGTTTTAACAGCGTCTTCTGACTGGGAAAGCGACGGCAAAACATCGACCATCTTCGGTGATACGTACGTACGTTGTCGTGGTCTTGGATATTTACTCATACCTCTTCTTCCACAGATTCTTTTACAAGATCACCTTTCGAACTTTCGTCTTCTCAGCCTTGGATTCCGCATCTATCTAGAGCATTCGGCATGCATGAACAGAATTCGCGAGCTTCTTCCCATCAGACAAACTCTGACGATTTGAGCACGCAGCACGCAGCTTTATTCCCTGTTTGTTGAGCGGCAGCTTTCATCGTTGGAGCAAAACTCTCAAGACATTCAACCGTACGTTCTATTCGTCAATTCTTCTTTCCTTGTTGTCCTCACTTAAATTTTTGTCGAGGTGATGGATAGGCACGCCAACTCAAACGCAGCAAGGATCAATCATGTTTGGAATTTTCCAGAGGTTCGCTTGATCTCTCCTTCTTTTCTTACACACGTCCTCTTATAGTTTTCGTAAGAAGCTTCTTCTTCCATTCATTCATTCATCACTCGATCCATCTTCAGCCAGCCAGCATTATTGGATAGAACTCTCGGATGGATGAGCTAGGAGAAGAATATGTGGCTGGGAGGATGCGACAAACGACACCCGCAAGAGCTGTTAAAGGCCGCGCCAAACGAAGAAGCTGGCTGGTCTTCTTTTGATCGTTCGTCTGCCAATCCTCCAAGAGCTAAGAATTGGACACTCCAACTTATTTCGCGTTCGTTAGTGCATCGCATTTGGAAGAGTTCCTTTTATCGGCAACGCTCGCGAGCGAGACGTATTCACTGGGCAGTGATGGACAGCTACAGTTACTCTGTGCGAGAAAAGATCACAGGAAAAAAGAGAGAGAGCTCTCCGGACAACAGGTAAGCTTGATTGATTTCCTTGCTTAGTTTTATAATTCTTTTCTCTTGTCGGCTTTTCTTGCGCACGAAGAACAGGTAGTCTCGAATCCAAACAAATTTTGCTGATGGAATCAGGGAGAGGATAATGCTGCTGACTTTGTAAGCCCGCTCACACTTTTCTTTCCCCTTTTGAGTTTTCTTTGCCTTTCCCGGCCAGGAGGAAGAATCACACCAAAACTGTGGCACTCTTCTTCTTCACGCAAAGTTGACGAGCGAGCAAGCGAGCGAGAGTGTGCGTGCCATCGAATCCTCCTCTGGTAACCAGCCTTTTTTATATATCTAGAGAACCATCCAATCGCTCCAATCTTCTTCTTGTCAGGTTGCTGCTGCCACTCTCTCCCAATGCGTGACGAAAGAAAGGTCCACAATCATAGAGACGACTCCTGCGATTGCCTCCCAATAAAAGTTTGTAACCATAGCCATCAATCAGCGCCAAGTACAATACTAGAATTAATTGATTGAGCTCCGAATATTTTCACTTTTTTACATTCTTTTGATCAATGTTTGGTGGACCTAACATGTATATTTTCAATAAATTCCCATCCATTTTCCGCCTTTTGGAAAAATCAAATCGATCACGCCACACCATGTGGTGCTCCTCTTGGGCTTTCGCCATCGCCGGCTCCACCAAAGGTTAGTAGCGACCGACTCTCCACGACACGTCAGCTTCCCGGCCATCCACGTCAGGGTCAAGATCTAGTCCACGTCAGTTCAGCTTTACCCAGTGTCAGTCTGCCACGTGGGCACGCCCGGACCAAAGTCTTTATAAGGGCAGCTCGTTTCCGGTAGGACGATAGGCACCATACAAGCCGGCCGCCCGTCACGCTCTGTTATCAACCCGTCAAGCCATTCTTTGTTCCAAGTAGCTCTTTTTTCTTTGGCTCTGGGCCTAGCAGCTCCACAACTGCAAAAAGAGCGCACAAAGGAAGATTCAAAGGCACCAGCTACGAGGAAGAAAGCGAAGGAAGAAAAGAAAGAGAGAGCATGAGTTTCGAGATGAGATACCACAGTCCGCATTTCTCCAGTAGAGCTCAGTCAGTCCAGTCGGATCGAAGATAGCTAGCGTGTTGCATTTTCCATAGTTTGATTCGTGTTAGCAAAGAAAGAGAGAAACGAGAAAAGCTCGCACATACCTCCTATTTTTTTATTTTTTTTGTTGCGTTCCTGATTTAAAGGATCGATTGCTTCGTTTCTTCCTGCTGCTTTCACGATGGCCAAGGCGAGCTTTTGCAGCCACTGGATCCTGCTGCTGCTGCTCGAGGTGGCGCTCTTGACGCACCAAGTTGTGGCGGGACAAGCACCGTATGCATGCGACCAGCGCAATGCGACGCTGCTCCAGTTTGGATTCTGCAACACCAGGCTGCCGACGAGCACGCGCGTCGAGGACCTCATCTCGCGCATGACGCTCCAGGAGAAGATAATTCAGCTCGTCAACAATGCCGCCGGAATTCCCAGGCTGGGACTCCCCCGATACGAGTGGTGGCAAGAGGCGCTCCACGGAGTTGCAGTCAGCCCCGGCGTCAAGTTTGGAGGCAAATTCCCTGGAGCTACCAGCTTTCCGATGCCAATTCTCACCGCAGCCTCCTTTGATGTCAGTCTCTTCCTCAAAATCGGCCAGGCAAGTTCTTCTCCTTCCTCTGTTTTCTTTTATTCCGACGCTGTAGCTGGACGTCCTGTCCACACCCATAGTGTGCTGAATTCTCCATGCTGACCGAGATATCGTTTCCTTTTTCCAGGCCGTGTCCACCGAAGCCCGAGCGATGCACAACTATCAGCGAGCCGGCCTCACGTACTGGAGCCCGAATGTAAACATCTACCGCGACCCGAGATGGGGCCGAGGCCAGGAGACGCCAGGCGAGGACCCTCTCCTGTCGAGCAAGTATGCCACGTTCTACGTGCGAGGCCTCCAGGATACAAACCTCGGCGGTGACAAGCTCAAAGTCTCGGCTTGCTGCAAGCATATGACAGCTTACGACGTTGACAACTGGAAGGGCACCACCCGCTTCAAATTCAATGCCATTGTAATGCTCCTGCGTTTTGCTTGCACCTTTTCCTCTCTGATAATTCCTGGCACCTAACTTCCACACCCTGTCCATGATCTGTACCCTGTGTCATAAGTCCCCCCTCGCCTCCGAAATGCCACTGCTTTTCTTGCTCATAACTGATTCTTGACTGTAATGTCCGTTTTCTCGTTCCAGGTGACCCAGCAGGACTTATCAGACACGTACAACCCGCCCTTCCAAAGCTGCGTCGAGGATGCCAAAGTCAGTAGTGTGATGTGCTCGTACAACCGGGTGAACGGGGTGCCGACATGCGCTGACTATAATCTCCTTAGTGCCACAGTGAGGAGCAGCTGGAACCTGAACGGGTCGGTAAATTTTTTTTTTGCTTTAGTCTGGCCAGCTTGACGACAGATCTTGCTCACCTGTGAAGTGCTTCTCCTTTATCTCCCTTGCAGCTACATCGTGTCTGACTGTGACTCGCTCCAAACTTTCTTCGACAACACCAACTATGCCAAGACTGCTGAAGATGTCGTAGCGGATGCTCTGCTAGCCGGTATGACAAAAGAACCTTCCGACAAGGGCTGTGCTAACCACCGCGTTCTTTTTCCATTCCTTTCTCCTGTCAGGATTGAATCTCGATTGTGGTCCCTTCCTGGCCATCCACACGCAGTCTGCAATCACCAATGGAAAAATTACCGAGGCCAATGTGAACCAAGCACTTCGATACCTTTACAACGTGCAGATGCGGCTGGGACTCTACGATGGAAATCCACGATCCCAACCTTACGGAAATCTTGGACCACAGAGCGTGTGCACCGGAGAGAACCAACAATTGGCTCTAGATGCAGCCAAAGAGGGGATCGTGCTCTTGAAAAACAACGGTAACGTCCTCCCTTTCTCGAAGTCCAATATCAGGACCGTAGCAGCAATTGGGCCTCATGCAAAGGCAACACGGGCCATGATCGGAAACTATCAAGGTAAGAACAAGTGCGTTAGTAGCTCGAAATACATATTGCTCACTTGTTTGAGGCTGAAACCACAGGAATACCTTGCAAGTATACCACGCCTCACGACGGACTCAGTGCCTATGCCAGAGTAGTATACTCTGCCGGCTGTTCAGATGTGGCGTGCTATTCGGACAGCTTGATCGGCTCCGCGGTTTCAACAGCGTCCCAAGCAGATGCGGTGGTACTGTTTGTCGGTCTGGATTTAAACCAGGAAGCCGAAGGCAAGGATAGAACAAGCCTTCTCCTCCCTGGAAAACAGCAAGAGCTCGTCACCGAAGTCACGAAAGCAGCAAAAGGACCTGCTGTTCTAGTCATCTTCTCCGGCGGCTCGGTCGACGTGAGCTTTGCAAAGTATAATAACAAGGTGCAAGGCATACTCTGGGCTGGATATCCCGGAGAAGCTGGTGGAGCAGCCATCGCCCAAGTCCTGTTTGGAGATCACAATCCAGGTTAGTGAAAGAAAGAAAAAGGACTTTCTATGAGTTCTTGCTAACAATCCTATACAGGTGGAAGGCTTCCTGTGACATGGTACCCGGAAAGCTTCACAGGAATCACAATGCTCGACATGAATATGCGGCCGGACGCTTCCAGAGGCTACCCAGGAAGAACATACAGGTTTTACACAGGACAGTCGGTCTATAACTTTGGCTATGGCAAGACGTACTCTAAACTCTCGCACAAATTCAAGGAAGCACCGCTCTCACTCGGGTTCCCGGAGGCAGCAGCGGTCAAGCGATCTTGCGATGGCAATCTAACATGCTTCCATCTAAATGCACACGATGAGATTACTTGTAGCACGCTTACCTCCAAGGTGAGAATTCTTGTCCACAACAAGGGAGATCGCCCGTCCAACCGCGCAGTGCTGCTCTACTCGTCGCCCCCAAACGCTGGCCGGGACGGCGCGCCGATCCGGCAGCTCGCTGGATTCGGGAAAGTGAGCGTTGCGCCAGGCGCCGTGGAGAACGTGGAGATCGAGATCGATCCCTGCAAGCACCTGTCCCACGCGGGCGCCAATGGCGTGAGGATCTTGCACGGCGGCATCCACACGCTCGCGGTCGGCAACGCGCGGCATCCTCTCCCCATCCTCCTCCAGTCCTAGAACCCTAAAATATTTGCTCCAAAACCCTACATTCTTTGGCGCTGGCCCAACGATCCATTGATCGATACATACATACGATACAAGACCAAGAAGAGATTTTTCTCCCTGTTTAGCCAGCATTGGGAGTGCAACAAAAGAAAGGCGTCAAGACCAGCGCCCTAGACCGCGACAGAGCATCCAACGGCTGGAATTTAAAAGAATCGACGGCCGGAATTCAAAGATACAGAATCCGCCGCGAAAGCCAATCGACGGCTCTAGATTGCGCCACGTCGGCCTATCTGGCGCGAGCCTAGTCTGTATAGGGTGTCACGGATCGTGTGCTTATTACCACTTCTTGTAAGAACGATCAGAGCACTGAGCAAAAAAGTGAGAGAATGAAAATATAAACTTGGCAGACTGGCCTTTGGCATCGAGCGAGCGCGAGAATAAATCGGGATTGGGACGTAGATCAGCCGAGTCGAGTCGCGAGAGCGTGAAGTGAGAGAGAGAGAGAGAGAGCCTGTGAAGAGAAAGTGAGAACTTGGTTATAAATGCAATGCTGAAAGGAGCGGGAGCGAGACAAGGAGGAGCTTACTTCTACAGAGCTTGATCGTTTTGGCGTGGAACTTTGTGTGCACTGTTTTGTTTCAATCCTCGTCGTATTCTTTTTGCTCGCTCTCCGTGGCCGGTGCTTGTAGAGAGGAGAATTGAGGCGTCCTCTTCTTCTCTTCCTGCTCTTCTTATCCTGGGATGGAGTGAGCCGAGCAAGCAACGGATATGATAAATGATTCAGCAATCTTATCTCGTATATCAGAGCTCGCGGAGCTCACGCTCGTCTCAGTCAGCTCGCAGAAGCGATATATCATGCCTCAGTGGAGATTCTCCTTCAACCAATGAGTGGCTACAGATTTCTTCTTGAGTGGTGCACCCAGATCTGCGCATAAAAAGATTAGTGACGCAAAACTGAAAAGAGAGAGAGAGCAAGATGGGAAAAGCTTCGACCTGCAAAGACGCGTTGCTGTCTTTAGTGCTGCTGTTGGGAGTCATCGACGTGCTGGCTGGCCAGGCACCATATGCATGTGATCAAAGCAATGCTACACTCGCAGCATTCCCCTTTTGCAACACCTCCTTGCCAATCACCGACCGAGTTGAAGACTATGTTGCTCGCTTGACGCTCGAGGAAAAGATATCTCAGCTGATCAACACTGCAACCGGGATCCCCCGTCTCGGTGTTCCAAAATACCAGTGGTGGCAAGAGGCTCTCCATGGAGTCGCTTCCAGTCCCGGAGTACAATTCGGAGGCTCTGTTCCAGCGGCTACGAGCTTTCCTATGCCAATCACCACAGCTGCGTCCTTCAACACCAGTCTCTTCTACGGAATTGGCCAGGTGATTCTCCTCCTCCCTGCAAAACGTTGCGAACTTAGTTACATCTCCGGAGCGTTGTTCACATTGTTGTTTCGTACCTCTTGAACAGGCTGTGTCCACGGAAGCCAGAGCAATGCACAATCTCGGCCAGTCAGGCCTCACTTTCTGGAGCCCCAACATCAACATATATCGAGATCCGAGGTGGGGACGAGGCCAGGAGACGCCAGGAGAAGATCCACTGCTCTCGAGTAACTTTGCAACTTATTATGTGCGAGGACTCCAGGAGTCGCAAGCCGGGAGTGATAAACTGAAAGTGTCAGCTTGCTGCAAGCATATGACGGCTTACGACGTGGATAACTGGCTTGGAACTGATCGGTACCACTTCAATGCAATTGTAAGTGATCTTCTTGTCTGAGAGCTAAACGAGAACATTGTACCTTCAGGTGACCGAGCAGGACCTTGAAGATACTTATAATGCTCCTTTCAAGAGCTGCGTCGAGGATGGAGGAGTAAGCAGCGTTATGTGCTCTTACAATCGTCTCAACGGAGTCCCGACGTGTGCTGATCACGAGCTCTTGACAACAACAGTCAGAGAGACCTGGAAACTCAATGGGTGAGAACGATAGTGCAAATTCAGCAGCTCACCCTTACTTGATTGTTTCCGCTCTTCAGATATATAGTATCTGACTGCGATTCGTTGCAAGTATTCTTTGACAACACCAACTATGCAGCCACGGCAGAGGATGCAGCCGCAGACGCATTGTTAGCCGGTAAGAATTTTCCTCTACCAAAGCTTTTTCACGAACTAAACAGCTTTCCAGGCTTGAACCTGAATTGCGGAACCTTCCTGGCCAAGCACACATTGTCCGCAATTCAGCAAAAGAAAGTCACTGAAGCAACCATAAACCAAGCTCTCACGTACCTTGTTACGGTACAAATGAGGCTGGGCCTATATGATGGCGATCCAAAATCCCAAACATATGGCTCACTTGGAGCGAGCGATGTCTGCACAAGCGAACATCAGACACTTGCTCTTGAAGCCGCAAGACAAGGAATGGTGCTCCTGAAGAACCTGGGAGCTCTTCCTTTATCTACGAGCAAGATCAAAAGCTTAGCAGTCGTTGGTCCACACGCAAACGCAACTCGCGCTATGATTGGCAACTACGCAGGTACGAAACTTGTTAGACATCACGAAAACTTTGAGGAGCTAACACTCTATCTCACAGGCATACCTTGCAAATACACATCGCCTCTCCAAGCTTTCCAAAAGTACGCCCAAGTCTCCTACGCTCCCGGCTGCGCAAACGTTGCATGCAGCTCAGACAGCTTGATCAGTGGCGCCGTCTCAGCAGCGGCAGCAGCAGACGCTGTTGTAGTAGCAGTCGGACTAGATCTCACCATAGAAGCCGAGTCACTGGATAGAACAAGCTTGCTTCTGCCGGGAAAGCAGCAAGAGCTCGTCTCCCAGGTGATGCAAGCTGCAAAAGGACCAGTTGTGATCGTCATCTTGAGTGCCGGAGCAATCGACATACCTTTTGCGTTGAGTGACAGCCGGATCGCAGGAATTCTCTGGGCTGGTTATCCCGGACAAGCTGGAGGAGCTGCAATAGCCGAAGTTATCTTTGGAGATCATAATCCAAGTAAGTCACTTCCAGTCCAAAACTCACCACTAACTCTCGCACGAATCACTCTCAGGTGGAAAGCTACCAGCAACTTGGTATCCACAAAACTTCACCAGCATTTCCATGCTAGACATGAACATGCGACCAAATGCTTCCACAGGCTATCCAGGAAGAACGTATCGATTCTACACGGGACCAACAATCTTCAAGTTTGGCGATGGACTGAGCTACACTTCACTCTCGGCCAAATTCATCAAGGCACCCTCATTCCTCTCAATCCCCTCCACAGCGCCAATGCAACCGTGCACTGGCCTCAAGAAATCATCCTCTTGCTTCCACCTCGACGCCACGGACGAGAAATCGTGCGAGTCTCTCAAGAGCCAGGTCGCGATTTCCGTCCGGAACAAGGGCGCCATGGCGATCAGCCACACACTGATGCTCTTCTCTACTCCTCCTAGCGCAGGGAGCGATGGCGTACCTCAGAGGCAGCTCGTCGGCTTCAATAAGATCCAGATCGCGGGGGATTCCATTAGCAACCCCGTGATCTTCGATTTGGACCCCTGCCGCCACTTCGTCCACGCCGATCGCGATGGAAAGAAGCTCCTGCGCAGCGGCACGCACGTCCTTACCGCCGGAAACGAGCAGCATTCCCTCCGACTTCTCGTACGACCCTAAAGCCCCAAACTTGAACAAGATTAAACTCTTTACAATATTAAACTCTTGAAATTAATCCATCTAAATTTTGGATAAAGTTAGTAAATAAATAAATAGATTTAAAATGATAAGAATTTTGCTAAAATATATAGATATTTTTTGGTTTGATGGGATGGTAGTGAATATACCAAGAATATGCTTGGATATTCTAGAATATTCTACTATCTAACGGTTGTTATTCATTTAAATTAATCGTGTATTTATAATTTATAAACTTTCTTAAACACTTTCTAGTATATTCTTTTTTATTCTACCATCTATAGGTTAATATGCCATAAAATTAATCTTGTATTTATAAATTATAAACATGTTTATAATTATAAATTTTTATTTGATCAATTGGATTAATAAGTACGAATAATATTACTATTAAGCAAATCAAGCATTGCTACATGCAATGCATAGCAAATTATTTATTTTTTACTTTTTAATGATTTATTTTAGTTTAAATATATGACTCTTTAAATTGTAATTTTTTATATAATATGAAATAAAATTTCTTTGAAAATAATAAAAAATATATTTAGCATTGTTGTGATTAGTTTTAATGAGTTACTATATATTTATGTAGTGAGTATATTATATTTTTATTTTTTTATTATTCCAACTTTAATTTTACTTTTATTAAAATATTTTATTGTAATTATCATTCTAGGTTTAATTTTAATACAAATTAAAATTATAAAAAATAATAAATTCTAAGGGATAAATATTCCTTAAACATTTTTTAACTTTTGCAATAAATGTTAAAAGAAATTGTTTTGCATTCTATTTCCTCTGGCACTAATGTTTTTTTAAGTTAATTTTAAAAAAAAAATATTTAAAGTATAAGTGATTTATAAATTTGCTAAAAATAAGTCAATTGATGATCTTTTTGGGCTTGAGCTTGAAAAAAACAAGCTCTAACACTTGCTAAGTTGCATTAGACATCTGCAAAATTTGATCACTCACACAAAAATCACACAAAAAGAAATACATACCTCAACAACTTTGAAGTTATTATAATTTTAAATTGAATGAAATTTTTATTACACCATTTAAAAAAAAATCAAGCATTCTCTTGTATTACTATCATTATAATATCATGAATTCATTAATAAGTATGTTAGAAATTAAAACATAAATCAATTATTATTTATTTATTTATTTCTATGGATTTAAATTTATTTGGTTTTTAAACACTGATTTAAAATATGTCCATTATTTTTTCTTTGTACTGAACTCTTTCAGGGTGATTTGTTTTGAAATTCATGTTAGTCCAAAACAAAGGAAAACCCATCTCTCTTGTCTTAGCACACAAGAAAGTAATAAAGTTTTATAACCTTGCTGCTCCTAGATGGTTGTATCTGCATGACTGGTGTTGCTGCTAGAACATGACACACAAAAATTTATATAACCTTTTTTTGTGCTTCAGCAATTCCGTCCCTGCTTGAGCAAGCCTTAGTCACAAAGGCAATCACACCACTCAATCTTTCCCTGGTCAAAACCTAAGAAAAACAAAGAACAAGTTATATATGATGAATTTGACAAGGTTGTCATGGAGGAAACATCGGTGACAACATCAATATATCAATTCCGAAGATTGGAAAGGAAAACCCGGATATTGTCTTCGTGGACACCAGAGAGAATACCAGGCAAGGAAATTATCTTAGTAAACTCATCTAAAACTACGACGAATCACTGAATAGAACAAGCAGCGATGTGCTCGTCATGCTTATCTTTTCCAACCTCTGTGAAAGCGAAGTTTCATATTCGCAGCCCTCGGCATATGCCTCTATTCAAATTATAGGGCTTCTTTCCTTGCGAGTCTCGCAGAACCAACTTGTAAGAAAATCAATACTTTTGTGTTGCTGTGCACGATTTCTGTATTGAAAGATTTCAATTTTTCTTATTCTTATTGCTTTCAAATGCATGCTCTTAACGAGAGTTTAGCGAGACATTCACGCAACATGCTTGTACTCGGACCAATTCCCTTATGGAGTACACGATGATTGATCTTGTCAAAGCTCGTGAGAATTTCTTTGCTATATAAACTCCATCACAAGAGAACCTCACAAGATCTCTCAAATCACCATCGAGCTAATCAATCCATCACAAAAGCGTTTGATCAGCTCGCCTGCCCCGGAGACAATGAAGATCATAGCACTCTTGGTGACCATCCTGGCCGTGGCAATCACCGCAAGCGCCTCCGATCCAGATCCACTCCAAGACCTCTGCGTCGCCGACACCAACAGCACCATCCGAGTCAATGGCTTCCCCTGCAAAGCCATCCCGGTTGCCGCGGATTTCAAGTCGGCGCTCATCAAGAACCCGGGCAACACCAGCAATTCCCTGGGATCCATCGTCACCGCCGCCAACGTTCTTCGCTTCC